GGAACTGAGGGCTCTCACCTCACCAGAGGAACTTTCTGTCTCTCACCTTCTCAGAGTGAAGTTCTTCTTCAGAAGTGGAATAAAACGGGTAGCCTAGGTGGACCGATAGAAAGTTGAAGGATGGAGATGCTCTGCCTCTGAGATTTCTCCGAGAAGATCCCTGTCCCAGAATAAAACTAGAGGAGGCTGAAAGCTGGACACCAGCCCCTGTGAGGACCACTGCTGCTTAAGATTGCCTTGTGGGTTCTCCAGCAAAAATGCTGATGAAATGATGTCATACCCACAGAACTGGATAACAGTCTAAAGCGTTGCCATTTACCTTTAAACCCATCGATTTTCCTCTTCCTTGGCTATCGTTTGGTCCTCATTTCCCTTGAAAATTGCTCTTTGTTTTGAATTAGAGCAGAAGTGGGACGGCAAGTCCCAGCCTTGCCTGGTCCTTCTTTGGAAAGAAGACAGTTTTGAGAGGGCACTGGTTGGAGCTGGGGAATTTGAAACCAATCTGAAATTGGAAAGGGGGTGCTGAGTTGCTCCAGCTCGAGACAGACGGGGAGCTGGGGCAAGGGACAGATGCAGCGGCTGCCCCCTCCCCAGTGGACCTGCGCCCACCCAGCCGATTGTGCAGAAGGAAACACACAAAGGCCCGTTTTCTCCTCGCTTCCCGTTTTCCCACGGGGGAAACCCTGTTACAGACCGCCTGAATCGGGCCAGGCAGAAAGTAAGGTTTTGCCCAAAGGGGTGCATGGCGTGGGGGAGGTGATGGGGGCATACTCTCCTACCGCGGGTCTGCCCTTGAGCACCGCAGTCTCCCTCTTCGCGGAAAACTTGGCGCAGTTCCTAGGGGCGGGCACCCGAAGCAGGAGGGAGGTCCGGGTATTGGTGGGGTGTCTGGGCCTTGTCATTTTTCTGTGTATCATCCATCTCTGTTTTATTATCCTGTGGAATTTAAGTGACCCCGTTTTCATTGCAACAGGTTCGGGACCGTGAGACACCACCACTGTAAGTACCTCCCCGTTTCTTCCGAATCGCGAAGGGACGGTATTGATAACCGGGCGGGTGTGGGGAGAAGGGCCGAGCCAGGGGGGCGGGCGGGTGGAAAAACGGCCCTGCCTCCCCAGGCCTGGGTATACGAGGGGAGCCCGATTTGGAACTGGAGGATCTAAGCTGGACTCCTGGGAAGATTTTCTGGGGCCTAGTTTGCAGTCACCTAACTAAGGGAACGCGCCGCGGGCACGCCTCACCCCTGTCTCCTAGGGCCTCCCCGGACCTTCCCGGCCTGCCCAGGCCTCCCCAGCTCGGACAGGTGCAGCTCCGCCGCAGCGGACGCGTCTGTGAAGAGCTTGCAGCTAATTAGCAGCTTGCCCTATTAACAAGTTGCGCCGAGCATCGCCTTCTGCTCGAACCAACCTGCTAAGCACCCAGGCAACGCGATCCCCATTCGCCGCCCAGCCCAGCTTAACCCGGTCCAGCCTGGCCCCGACCTTCTCTCGTTTTTTTTGTTTGTTTGTTTTTTTTTAATAAAAAGAAGGAGTGGGGAGGGACGCAACCCTTTACGGCTGCGGGTGTGTTGGGTTGGCCCGCTTCCGGGAAGGGCTGAAAATTCTGAGCTTTACATGAAAGTCCCTCCTACCCTCTCCCCCGGCCCAGCCCCGGCCTCAGCGATTTGGGTCCTGGGTTGGGGACTCCGGCTGAGGAAGGAGGGAGGGATGCGGCCCTTCTAATTCACTCCTGCTTCTCTCTAACTGCAATTCGAGAATTTCTGCACCAGAGCCGCTAGTGTTGCAGGCAGACAAGGGGGAGGGGAGTTTGGGGTGCGGTGGGGGGCAGAGATTCTTGGGGTGTTGGGCTCAAAAGTTTGGCTCTTTCAGAGTTGCTTATACCGCGGAAGACAGGTACACTTCTGAAGAGGCCTGTGAACTCTCCAGGAAGGCTATCTCATTAAGATGATGGTGGTGGGGAGAGACTCCAGGAAAGACCGGGGGCCCCTCCCTCATGCAAAACGGAGATGATTTTATTTTAATGAGAGATGGAATGTGTGAAGACGTTAAGAACCAGGCACCCTCCCTTTCTGGTGAGACGTCCTCTTTCTAGGGACGGAGAAGATAGGGCTTGGCTCTGGGCCAGATTTCTGCCCTCCAGGCTGGGCAACATAATCAACTCCCTGGGGGCTGTGCCCCCCCCCACCCAAGGAGTGGAGGATCCACGCAGTACATAGTTCAGCTCTACGAATCAGGCTGTCTCAAGTGAAACAGGCCCCCCCAGCTCCAGGCCGGAAAATCCAGCGTCCTCAGAACCCCTGGTCTTGCCCTCTTCCTGTGACTCTTCTGGCTCTGGGTGCTTATCTCTGTGGATGCTCCTTGCTTGAAAACCCAGAACTGGCACCCTGTAGCTGAATGCAGCACAAAAAGCCGGAGACATCAAAAGCATTTGTATGGGCAGTTGAGCAGGAGGTGAATATTTAACGCTTTTGTTCATCAATAACTCATTGGCTTTGACCTGTCTGAAGGAGTGGAGCAATAAGGTGAAATGCAGGTCACAGCGTCTAATAAATATGAAAATGTGTACCCTCACCCAGGTCCCCACTCATCCCAGCAGGCTCCCCCAATCTGTCTGGATAAAGTCTAGACCCAAGGTCCCCAGGAGCTCTTGGCATTAAAGGAAGGTGGGGGAACCCCCTGGGACAGGGGAGTTGGGTGTGGGGCAGTTTCAGAGGTCTTGTTAGAATTGCCCCCCCCCGCCCCGAAATCCCTACAAAATAGCCAAAGCACTGGAACCAAAGGATTGGGGGGAGTGTGTGGGGAGTGTGCAAAGTGCAGAGAAGTCAGCCAATTTTGCCAGACTAGGGGTGGGGGGAGTGGAGGGAATTCTCCCTGTTCCACCCCACCAGGCCCAAGGTGAGGCTTGAAAACAATTTTTGAATCATGAGGGTAAAATAAAAAAAAAAGAAATACCTCTAGCTTAGAGTTAAGGATCCAAAATCCCCACCCAAGCCTGGGCATCCCCAAAATCCTCCCAGTTCTGAGCCCTCTTGGTGCTATGAATTGAGGGGTGAGCCCCAGACTGCACCGAAGCACTGGGGCGGGCACACTTCGTGAACTTTTGTACTCTTGTGTGCTGCTGTCGGCAAAGCAAAAATAATGAAACTTTGTGATATGTTTGTAAATGATTTCGAATGACCCCTCGCCCTGCCCTTCACCATTAGTACGCCAGCCCCAGCCCAGGACAGCTCGGTGCCTGCAAGCAGCGCCTGCCTCTGGGTGGTAAGCAGCAGCCGGACAGAGAGGCCAGCCGGGCTCAGAGCCCTGAAAGGTAAACGTGCGACTTCTTGGAGAACTAGCTTAGCCAGCCAACCTGGCTTGCCCTGGCAGTGGGCAAGAGAAGGGGCAGAAGATAGTCCCTCTTGCCTCTTTTTCTTCTGCCACTAAGGGCATTTTCTCCTTTCTGGAAAATACCACTTGATAAGGGAGGGGGTGTTATGTGCATCCGGAAAGGGGATAATAATACAGTCGCCATTCTGCAGTGGATTATTTTTCTTCTGTTCTTTTCTTTCTTTCTTAAGAAGACTGTCCTGACTCCTTGGCTGCTTGGTAACCCCGACTCTGGTACAAGGATGGGGAACTCGTTGCTGCAAATTGCCACCAAGCACTTCAGACTACCTGAACTGTCTCTGAAAGTGAGGGTGGCTGCGACGGGCTGGCGGCTCCGAGGAGGAGGCTGGGGCTGGCAACAGTCTGGGTACTTGCTCTGGGTGAAACCTGGAGGCAGTAACGTTGTCTATATATACCCTGTAGAACCGAATTTGTGTGGTATCCACGTAGTCACAGATTCGATTCTAGGGGAATATATGGTCGATGCAAAAACTTCACATTCTCCGCAATAGTCAGAAGTGGAGGCCAGAGTCAGCCGACCGGTCAGTCGCCTCTTTCTGTTTTATTACCTTGGACTCCAGGCAGGAGGATCTTCGGAGCCCAATTATGTAAAATAGCCTTTTCCCAGAGAAGCTCCTCACCTTCAAACAGGGCCCCCTGTGTAAATCCCTAATTGGTTGCATGAATGCAGGGCCAAAGGGTTAGGTTTGGGGGCACTGGGGAGTGAAGTGGGAGTCAGGTAGCCCCAGGATCAGCTCTCCTCTCTAGGGGCATAAAGTTGGAGGGTGCCCAAAGAGGGGGCTTGTTTTCCTTTACTGCCAGGTGGGAAGAAGGCGAGCAGGGAAAAGGGAGTTTAGGGCCCTTTGGGGGATGCTTTTGAGTGAGGTGGGGTTACCCTCACAACCTTCCTGGGCTACCCTCCGGCGCTGCCCTAGTCAGAGAATCAAGGGGGCTTCTTGTCATACCAGCAAGGCCAGATTTGGCTACAAACACCCTGGCCTTCGAAGAAAGCTTGGCAGTTACTCATTGCCTAATTTGATTCAGGCCAGCCAGATCGTAGTAACTTTTGGGTGACCCTGATGAAGACAAAGCCGGCGGGATCCGGCCTTTGTATGGCAGAGTCCCCGCGCTCCCGCGGGCTGGGCAGGCGGGAGTCCTGCCTGCCTGGGGTTCTCTGTCGAACTCAGGAGTCACCTCCTCCACCCACCTTTTGATGCCATGCACCTTGACAAATACAGGAGATTCATTCCCTCTTGAACTGTGCCCATTTTGGGGGGGCTGATTGCAGGCGGGGTGCATGGAGAAGGCAGTGGAGGTTAGCGAAGTCAGCGGCAGACAAAAGTGGGGTCACCAGTGGGGAATGAGGGTGCTGGGATTACAGCTTCACTAACATCTGGTGGGAGCCCTCAGAGGTGCCACGGTGAGTCACTTGATTACACGTATGTTATTTAGTTAAATTTGTGAAAATTATGAGATGCTCACCAACCCGGTGATAAACTCACTCCCTCGCTATTGGCTGGCCTGGTCACATGGCCGCCAACTTTATTCAGTTGACAGCAAGTAGGAGGGCCCTATGGAAGAAGAAAAAAAGACAACACGAGAAAAATTAGTATTTTCTACCTTCTGAAATTAATGGCCATGAGTTCGTATATGGTGAACTCCAAGTATGTGGACCCCAAGTTTCCTCCTTGCGAGGAGTATTTGCAGGGCGGCTACCTAGGCGAGCAGGGCGCCGACTACTACGGCGGCGGCGGTGGCGCTCAGGGGACCGACTTCCAGCCCCCGGGGCTCTACCCACGGCCCGACTTTGGTGAGCAGACCTTCGGAGGCGGCGGCCCCGGGCCCAGCCCGGCTCTGCCCACGCGGGGTCACGGGCCAGAACCCGGCGGCCCCGGCGGCCACTACGGTGCTCCCGGAGAGCCATGCCCGGCGCCCTCCGCGCCCCCGCCCGCACCCCTGCCCGGCGCCCGGGCCTGTAGCCAGCCGGGCGGCCCCAAGCAGCCGCCCCCCGGGACTGCCCTCAAGCAGCCGGCCGTGGTCTACCCGTGGATGAAGAAGGTGCACGTGAATTCCGGTAAGGACGGGCCCAGGACCGCTCAGTCTCCACCCCAGCCCGGCGGCCTGAGCCCCGAGAGGGGGTGCGCGTGGGTGGGGGCGTGTGGGATTTCAATGGGCGCCGCAATTACTCTCTCCATAAATTTTTATAGCCGAGGGAGCAGGCCGGGACCATGTGGCTGGCTGCTTGGCTGTGGGCGCAAAAAGGGGTGGAGATGGGGGTGGGGTGGGGGAGGACTCCATTTTCAGAGTGGAGGGAACGCGGTGGAGGAGAGGGGATCTCCAAAATGCCTGGGAATGCTGGAGCGGGCGGCAGGCTGGGGGCAGGAGGGGACGTTTGGGGGTCCCCGCCTGCGAGGCCGGGGGAGCAGGTGGGTGGGAGGGAGCGTGTGCGCCGGGGAGAGAGGGCGGGTGGGAGGCAGGGAGCAGCGGGCCAGGAGGGAGCGCAAGGAGGGCCCGGCCTCGGGGCGCGCCAGGAAGTGAGCGCGGGTGGCCAGGGGCCTACCCCGAGGCCGGAGCTGACCTTGTGCGTCTGTTTTGTCTCTCAGTGAACCCCAACTACACCGGCGGGGAGCCCAAGAGGTCCCGGACGGCCTACACCCGGCAGCAAGTCCTAGAACTGGAAAAAGAATTTCATTTTAACAGGTATCTGACGCGGCGCCGTCGGATTGAAATCGCTCACACCCTGTGTCTTTCCGAGCGCCAGATCAAGATCTGGTTCCAGAACCGGAGGATGAAGTGGAAAAAAGACCACAAGCTGCCCAACACCAAAGGCAGGTCCTCCTCGTCCTCGTCCTCGTCCTCGTCCTCCTGCTCCTCCTCAGCTGCCCCCGGCCAGCATTTGCAGCCGCTGGCCAAGGACCACCACACGGACCTGACGACCTTATAGAAGTGGGGACCCTGGGCCCACCCCTCCCAGAGCTCCTGGCTGAGCCGAAGCTGCGGGGGCAGGCCGGGCCTGCTGTCACCTCCCTGGGCTTTAAGGTACTGTGGGGTGGACCTGGGACACAGGCAGGCCTCCCTCGGACTAAGGTTAGCGTCCTGCCCGAGGGCAGCCCCCTCCCTGGAGCAGGGATGGGGGTGGGAGGGGGCGGGATTCTCTCTCTAAGCATATTATCAAATGGGCAGGAGCTACTGAGAACCTAAAACCTTGGCGAGTCATTAAACTCCTGAAAATCTCTGCTGTTGGGTTTTGAATTTGCAAATGAAGGTTGGATGCTTTATCCCAGTGTGAATTTGAACATCCTCCCCCACCCCACCCCTCCAGGAATCTTTGTGGTTTAAAAATGTGCCAGAGTTGAGGCAGAAGCTTGGCCACCCCTGCGCTAGGTGTTTTCAGTAGAAGCAGGAGAGCTGAGCCAGGATTCCTGAACTTTCTGGGTCGTCTGTATAATTTCCAGTGTGAAAAAAAAAAAATATATATATATATATATATATTTTTTTTTTTGCTCCCAGTGTCCCCATGCCCAAAGAAATGAGTTTAAGAAGGAAGCGGAAACGGGTTGTTTTATGTTTAGATTATATTTGCTTAAATATTTATTTGTTGGAGAATTGGGGTACAGAAATAACTGACATGGTGTTGCCAAAAAACTTAACATGTGAAAGGGGCTGAGTTTCAGGGAGCAGAATTAGAGGTGCGTGGCCTGACTTCTGGTTGGAACTCCACCCCCTCCCCACTCCCAGGAAATGTATATAGGGGGCCCTTAACCCTTCTAGAGGAAAGGGAAGGATCCACTCAAAGTTGAGTTCTTGAATATATATTTCCACATGTGTGTTTTTCAGCACTGTGCTTACAACTAGTTCTGGGTGATTAGAGGAAAGGGAGAAAAGAAAGAAACAAATGGTCCAACATTTTCCTTCTGGGGAAAGAAAACAAAACCTCCATGTTCTGGGTCATTAGATAATGACTGAATTTTCTGTTCCAACTGGATTCCGAGTGTCCCCAAATGCTCCATGTAGCAGTATTTTATAGGAATTGGTGTGTGGCTGGTATGGGAGAAGGGATGTGCGTTGGGGAGAAAGTGGGAAGGTGAGGAAATCTTGCTTTTAAAAAAATGAAAAACTAACTGAATCTAGAAGTCCACAAAAGTCGGTCTTAGGGTTTTTTCCCCCTAAGTTTTAATTTTTCAAAACAAATCTAAGGAATTTCTCAACCTGTTAATTAGAAGCGAATTTGTAAAAGTACAAAAGTTTTCAGGCCCTCTCCTCTCCCTTGCCTTGAGAACAGTGGTTTAAAAACAATTGCTCCCAAACAACAGGAGAGATGTTCTTTAGTCATTTTTCTCATGCCTTGCCTGCAAAGGATTCAAAGCTCATTTTTCTAAAATGTTGACCCTTAAGGGTAAGGGGAAAGAGTCAAAGGTAATGGCCAGAGTTCATAGACTCATATGAAACAAGGCTTCAGAAGTTTAAACCCCAAAGCCTCGGGCTCCAAAAAGAAACCCCTGGTTGTCCCTTACCAAAAAGTGACAGAAGTGGGGAGGGGAACAGGAGGGAGGTTGAAAAGGAGATTCAGAATTGGGGCTATTTTTCAGTGCTTCAGAACACTTTAGAAGGTTTCAGAGGTAATTTTTAAAATATATTTGAGTGCAGAGGGAAAAAAGACTTCCTCTACGGGCATGTTCTTTGGTTCTGTGTCTCCTGAGAGCTGAGGGCAGGTATTCACTGGGGTCCCTAGGCTGAAATTCCACTTCTCTAAAGTATCTTCCAAGTCTTGGTCTTTTGTATTAGACCCCAGGGACAGCTCTTTGTTCCTCCTTGGGGTGAGCCTGGCTCTCAGACTTGCACATGGCAATACTTGAATATCGCCACGTCGGGATATTAAAGATGGATATTCCTGCATTATTTGCATCATTGTTTCTATGACAAAAAGCACAGAGTTCATACATAGTCAAGACGTCTTTTTTCTGATGCCCTCACGTTGAGAAGCTGAAAAGGTATTTTAACTGAAGTTCGGCTAAATTACAGAATCAGGTTCATCCAGAGGACAAATTTTCTATTCGATTAGCTGTATTTCAGCCGGGAGGACTGACCTCTAAACCCTTAACCTTTTGGACTCTAACTACCCTTCTCTTCTTTTTTCCCCCCCCTCTAACATGGAGAGCAGTCTTTGGATGTAGCATTTGAAAAGAGCTGCTATCTTTAGGCAAGTTGGAAAGTTGCTCAGATTCTTCCCTAAACCCAAACTTGTTAATACATTGAACCTTCTCCTTGTGTGGGGGGGGATATATATTTCACAATGTCCAACTATATATGCATTATAAAAATTATATATAGAGAGATTTCTTCCCTTCCTAGAAGTTCAGGTTAATCATCCCAGCTTCAGACCAAATGCCAAACTACTTAACTGCCTTCACTTCTGCCCTAGAGGAAAGCCAAGAGGTATATTTGATGAAGAAAACTCAAGTTCCTCCTTAAAAATAGCCCCACTACTTTGGAAAGTAATTTTATCAGAGAAACAAGTTCTTTGTTTATAAGTCTCAGTTCTTCTTCTCAGCTTCTAGGGATTCTCTTTTGAAATGTTAATGGAGCCTGCAAGGCCCAGAGGGCAGCCTTCAACCCTGAGGTCCCAATCAGACCCTCGCGTCCATTTGGGCCCACAGGAGTGGGGCGGGCAAGAAGCGGGGGGCCCACCAGCCGGCCAGGGCAGGGAAGGAAATGTTTCCTTCTGGGAACGTGTTCTGGAGACCTAGGTGTAGAAAGGCTCAGTGCCCATTTGCTTTTATTTGTTTCCAGTTTGTTCCCCCAAATATGATCCAGAAGTGTTTGAGGGTTTTTTAAAATGGTATGTTGGGATAGTAACTGGGCGGGGGGGGGGGAGTGAAGTGTTTCCTGAGGACACTGCATCTCACTTTGTCCATTGCAGTCTTTTGTTGGGAGATGACATTGTCAGTCAGCCCCATGGTGTCTGTTCACACAAGATGCTTTTTTAATAGAACTGGTCAATGTTCTGCTGCCACTGATTAAAGTATTATTTATACTAATTGTTGCCTGTAGTTTTGATGTAATTCATTGATCTCTATTTGAAATAATAAAAGGTGTAGTGAAATCTCCCTCTTGTTTGGTGCCTCCACAGAAGCATTCTTCATTAGGTCTTCTAAAAGCTAACATCCACTATAAACAATGTATTTTATTATTTTCTATAATATGCCTGATGTGTGAGGGTTAAACTGCGTAAGGCATAGAAATTCTACCATTTTCTCTCTCCCCCATACCTACATACACCTAATTTGGCTGTTAAATTTTGTGTGCATTGGAAAGCCAGAGGCTGGATCCAGGCTGGGGGGGGGTAATTTTTTTTTTTTAAGGAAAATAAATAACTTCCTGGGCTAAAAAGAGGTTCCAGTTTGGCTCTGTGCAGGCCCAGGTCAGCCCTAGACCCCCTCGATCTGTGGCATGGTGGAGGAGAGATCTCCTGGCTGCCCAACTCTAATTAAGAGTGTCTGGTGCTGGGCTCTGGGCCAATCTGAGGCTGGCCGTGGCTGCTCGGATCTTACCCTTCTGGCCTCCAGTCTTGGGTTCCTTCTACTTCTGTGCTGTTCGGCCCCACTGGGGCCTCCAGCAGCTGCCCCTCCTCTCCCCGAGCGCCCCTTCCGCCCTCCAGACGACAATAAACACTCCCCACTATAAAGAGTGGCCAGCGCTATTTTTTTCACGAGGGCTTTTCACGTCTTGGCCTCGCCTTGAAGAGGGGGCCAAGACAGGAGTCCCAAAGTAGATGGGGGAGGGGGGGAGCTTACTCTCGACAGGAAATGAGCAGAATGCAAAAAATCAGACGTGTGTCCTTAATATATGGAAGGGCTCGCCTCAGACGCGTGGACATGTGTATTTATAAGTGCACAGACAGAAGTTTAAATATTCAGACACGTTTTATGATTGTCCTCTGCCCGTCTTCTGGTTAATGGCTCCTCCAGTGCCCACCAATACATCAATACGGTCGTGTGTATTGAATCGCGGGCAGGGATGAGGAGGAAGCGAGTGCCCAGCCTAGCCGGTCGGAGGACAGGACCGTAAATCGGGGGCCCTAGGCAGCCGGCGCTTCCCGCGCGCCCGCCATGTTGGGGAGCCCTCCCTGCCCCCCGCGCCGGGCTGGGCGGCCGGGGCTCGCCGGCAGCCGGGGGAGGGCCTTTCATAACCCGGAGAATTTTCAAAGTGCGAGGAAGATGATAAGAATAGATTTCTACAAGTCCCGACCACGTGATTGGCGAAATAATTAATTCAGCACGTCCCTTAAGAAACACGGAGTCGTCATTAATCTGCCACGCAAAGGGCTCTCTCCTACTTGCAAAGTGCAGGGATCCCAAGAATATCACCCACCGAGGGGGGCTGCGCGGCGCCCCCAGCCCTCCACCCTCGGCCCCCGGCGGCGGCGGGCGCGGGAGTGCAGCCAGCAGGTAAATATTTTGGCGACTTTTATTTCTTCGGATTTAAATCCTTAATGAACTTCGCTGTCAGGGCCGCTGACAAATAGTTCCCTTTGCTTCCTGATTTGGAAGCGCGCGCCGGCAAGAAGTTGTTAGTGGCTTGGATGGTGACCTTTGGTTCAGCAAAGCTTTGCACTTATGAAAAATTACTGAGAGCGGTCGAGTGTGTGTGTGTGTGTGAGAGAGAGAGACAGAGTGTGTGTGTGTATGTGAGGGTGTGCGGGGGGCGAGGGGCGAGGGTGCGCGCGGGCTGCTCAGAGGCGACAGGAGCAGTGAAAACCCGCCCGGCTGGGGGACGCGCCTGGCGCACGCGGGCCGAGGTTGCCCGGTCGCCTGTGTCTACCGGGAACAATGGTCGCTGTCACGGCATCTGCCGCCTATTCTTAAACCGGTGAGAAAAGGCCCCGGCCCTCTTTTCAAGCAAGGGTCGTAAATTTTTCTTTGCGTCATAATGGAAGGCTATAAAATCGAGTTGAAATTTTACCCCAGGCAGATTTTAACCGACAGATAATGATTTCCGAGTTGCTTCTCCCACTCCCCTCCCTCTCACCCCAGCTCTACTGCTTCTGTCACCTCAGCAAGGAGTCTGTCCCTCTTCCCCCTCGATTTTCACATCTTTAATTTGAGAAGATCTAAAATACAGGGAAATTCCCTGCCGCCCAAGGAGTGGGAGACCCTGGGGTGAGGGGAAGCCTCGGGGGAAGGGAAACAGGCGTGTAGAGTGGGGGAGAGACTAGGGATGAGATGCTGGAGCCATCTCTCCCTCTGGCTGGTTTCAGCCTTTTTTCTCCCGAACTCCCGAGAAGCTAGCTGTCAGGTCCCACGAACCACCCCGCTCCCATCCCAGCCCACCCCAGTCCACCCCACTCCAGCTTGCCGGAGTTCCGTGCTGGGGGCAGCAGCGGGCATTCTCCTCCTCCAGCTCGTCACTCCGGCCCCGATGCCTCCTTCCCTCTAGTTGGCTTTGAGGATGATATCGGGCGAGCTGCGGGCTGGCTGCGTGTGGTGGTTGTTTTGGGATTGTGTGTGTTTTGATTTCTTTTTTGGCGTGTGTATATTTCCCCCATCAGGACAGAGACAAAGTTTCCTCCGTTATGAATTATACATTCAAACAATAACACATTAATTCAATTATTCAAAGATGACAAATGTTTATGTGCTTTGCAAGTGACTTTGGCGCAGATTCTGGGCGCTTTCCCTGAGCTGCTTGCGTTTTTTCTCAATGAGAATTGGCTGTCACCCTCCCAACCTCACCCCCACTCCACCCCACTCCACCCCACTCCACCCACCTTACCCACCTCACCCCACCCCACCCCACCTGGACATACCCTGGTAGCTCCACAGAGGAACCCACAAAAAACCTCCCCAGCCCCGCTGCCAGCCCGGCAGCCAACAGCCTCCCAAGGCCTGGCTTGGTGGGCACCGGCCCGGGCTATTTTATCAGTGTGACAATTGCCCGGGTTGGTGTGATAAATCATCGTAAGTAATTCCTGAAAGGGTGCGAGGCTGTTGGGGGCCGGGCGAGGACTGTAAATCTTTCCGGTTTATTGCTCTATGAACATATGCTCCGATTGAAGAAGGCTTAGATCCTTTCCTGGAGACAAATTCCCGCAAAGGGGCCCCCCCTTTGGCTGGAGATTAACACTTGCTGCGGGCCGGCTGCACGGCCCCTGGCGGAAGGCTTGGGGGCGGGGTCGTCCGGGTGAGGGTGGACGGGGGGCACCCATGGTCCGGCTCCAAGAGGCGCTCTGAGCGGGCCTCTAGCCAGGTGAACAAAGGAGGGACTCGCTGACAGGTCTGGGGGCTCCAGCCTGTGACCTGTTCTCCGGGACTTTTCTGTGCTTCTGGAGTGGGAATGCGGAGGATCTTACCCCCTTCTCCCCGCTCTTCTGCGGCGGCCCTGCCCATGCGCCTACCCCTGTCCGAGACCTCGCAAGTGGCAACAGGGCATCTGCTCCGTGCCCCATGCCGCCGAGAAGCAGAGCCGGCTGTGAAAGCGGGACTTCGGGGATGGAGTGGACACCCCACACGGTGCGGGATTCCGGGTGCGAGTCGAGTTGGGGTAGTGCGGTGGGGGCTTGCTGCAAACAAGCCGGGAGCTGGAGGCTGGCTGCTCCCCCTGGCCAGGAGCTTTTTTTTTTTTGGCCAGGAGCTTAAAAGCTCTTCTTCCCACATGCAGAGTCGTTACCCTTGTTACCGTAAATTACACCCGACCGCTCAGAGTGTGCTGGAAATCTATCCTGATTTACTATTGCTAAAATAGAAGCTCCCTCTTCTCCCAGCTAAGGCCAGCCGGGACTGATCCCGCATTCTCCCTTCGCGTTCTTGGAGACGCCGCAGGAAGCGGGAAGCCGCGGCCTGCTGTCGCTGAGCCTGAGGGATCTATGGGCCCTGCCCGGACCCGGAGGCTCACAGGTCGCGGCAAACAGCGGCTCCACGCCTCGGCGGCTCCAGGCCCCGCCGGACCCGGGTGAAGTTCGCCAGATGCAGAGAAGGGAGAACGCCCCCGGTCTGGGCCAATGTTTATGCGCTTTTTCAGGCTCTGAAAGTGTAGGCTCATCGGCTGTGTCTGCGAAACGAGCCAAGGCCCCAGATTGTGGTGGTGGTGAAGAGGGGCGTTCCTCGGGGTCTGTGAGCTGGAGGCTCTCAACCTTAGGACGGGAGCCTGTGCTGTGCCACAACGTAATTGCCTCCCAGGGGAGGGGAAGAGCGGCGCGTCCGCCTAGGCTAGGCTGCGCCTTGCCCGGGTGTTTGAGGATGCGGGACCTTGTACCGGGCGCGGCTGGGGAGCTTGGGGAACCTGGGCCTCTGGTGCTCCGCAGCTGCCTCCGGAGACGCCTGTAAGAGACGCAGCTTCTAAAATTTCCAGTCCCCGGGCCAGCCTGGTGGAAGGCTGAGCCAAGGTCAGAGGTCGTGGGGGGAGAGGCGCTCAGCGCCCCCATCCCACTGCCAGCGGCCAGGCTGGAGCTAGGTCATTCTCAGGCCTCGGGATGGGGGCTTTCCTTCCGCCCCAAACCCACCATGGTCTGCCCAGGGGAAGGGACCGAGATCCCACGCCTCCTGCCCCCTCCTCCCAGCCCCCAGGCCTGGCTGCGCTCCGGGGCTGGATGGCGTGAAAGTTTCAGCCTCAATCAGTACAATCTTCCCTCGGGGTCACGTGAACAAATATGCTTGCATTTGAAGGCAGCGTCTGTATTTCCCGACTATGAGGGGGTTTCCGGGGCTCTCTTCAAATCCAGAAAGGGCCACGTTCCGAAAGGAAAACAAACCCCGAGCTCTCGGGGGCCTGGGAGGGCTGGGCAGGAACCCAGAAGTGGGTGGGGGCACGGGTGGCCGCCGCTCTGGGCCTGGGAGCGGACAGGCAGGCGGTGGACCGGCGGGCGTGCAGCGCAGGCAAAGCCAGCTCGGGGACTACGAATTCGTTCCTCCTACGTTTATTGGTAGTTGAACCTCAGCCTGGTTCCATTCTACCGGGAATTCCGTGTGCTCTGGTATATGGCCGCGTCTTGGAGCGCGCAGGACCAGGGTTGGGACAGCGTTGTCTGCAGACAAAGGGGGAAGGCTAGCTCTGCCCCCCACTGGCGCCCACTCTAAGGCCGAGGACACCAGGTTTATGATAAATTGGGATCCAGGTAAGCAATTGCATGACAAAATAGAAATCTTTGGGCACAGGGCTGCTTGCTGCCCTGAATGGGATACTAAATATGATTTATTTTGTGTAATCTGTGATCTTGATTATTGCCAATTGGTGAGGCAGCCCGCGTAGACCTAGATACACTTCTACATATACATCCAGGATGGTGATTAATCCTAAGGAGGTTCGCTTTGTGGGGATGTTCCCCGCCTACCCAAAGGTTAGGGGGACATACTACCTTGCCAGGCTGGGAGGGTGGCCGGTGGCATAGTGGGGGGAGGTGGCAGTTTAAGGAGGGGACTGGGCACTGGAGGTATTTGGGGGGTAAATGTACAGTTATGAGAATGGGTGGAAAATGAAATGAATAAAAAGAAACTTTTTTAAAAAAAAACACTGTCACTTCCAAAGTAAGATGGAGCATCGTATTAATTCCATGTCTTGAGCTGCCTGGCTGGACGCAGGCAGGTTGATTTATACGTATTTAAAATAAACTCTGTGAACAGCCAGCTCCCTGCATTGTTCTGGGAGCTAGCTCCACATACGCACGCTTTTATCCTCTTAGTGTTGGCTTAGTTTTTTTTTCCTCTGTGAGGTTAATGTGCTATTCAAGATTCTACCCCAAATTCAAGAGAACACCCAAACTACCCAGAAGAGTTTGGGGGGCACCTCCACAGTCCTCCTCGCTAATCTAGTTTTTGACTGCAATAGTGGCAGAGAAAAGGTTTAGGGCTTCTGGGTCCTTCTTAAAGAAACTGAAATGACAGCTGAATAATATTTTGGTTCCTGCATCCCATCCATTATTTTGTGTATTGTGTCCTGTGGCTCCTGGATATGGGAGCACAGGACAGTTCATCCTGGGTCTTTCCCCAGGACCAAAGCCTGAGAAAGCAGCCCCAGGAGTGAGCGGCTCCTAACTCCTGGAAAACTGCTATAGGGCTAGGCCAGACTGGGCCTCTGTGGGAAAGGGACCCAGAAAGCAAGGAGTACTCCCTTAACCTAAGTTGGGACAGGTCTCAGCCAGAGAGGGACAGGCTTCCAGGGTCCTGGCCATCAAAGGAGAGCGGTAAACTTGTTTGGTCAATTGCTGACGCTTGGCTCCATCAGAAGTTAAAGTCGCTGGACATTTTTCTTCTCTTGCTGCCTTGGAGCTGCGCGCCTGCCAACTTAGTCAGCTGAATCCAATTACTGCGAGCAGCATTTCATTTGGCCCCGTGGAGCACTCACTTATAACTTCCCCGAAAATTTCAATAATCCGTACCAAGGCTCCCTATCCAAAAGGCTTTTCCCCTTTTCCCCGGGTACTGGTAGGGGATGGGATACATGGCTAGGTCTGCCGGGACCAGCTCTTCCTTGACAGCTCTGACAGGCTTCCTTCCTGCTCCCCGTTTCTGACTGTGAAAGGGGTACTTGAGCTGGTGGCTCAGAGCCAGCCGGATAAAGCCTGCAGAAGGCTGGGCAAGCAGAAGGCTGAAGTTAGCAGGACCCATGCTGGGTGGTGGGTGGGCTGGGGAAAGAGCCTGTGAGAAGACGGTGGGGGCTCTGGGCAGCACAACTTTGGCCACCTTGGGGTTCTCTTTGCTTTCCCCTTCCCAAGGTGCACCCAGAGCGCACCACACACCCCAAGAACGCCCGGGAGTAACTTACCCTGTTCCTCCGCGGCTGGGAAAACAAAATCTAGCTACAGGCATGGGGGAATCGCGGCACTGGGCGGCCTCACAATTTAGATCTTCTGAGTGGAAGTGCCTAATTCTGAAGAACTTTTTCTCCCCCAAATAAATAAGAAATAACTAAGCAGCGAAAGTTGTCCGCCCACGTGAATGTATCATATAAAGTGGCTTCAGGACCCGCTGATCCGGTCCGAGGGCTCAAGTACATCGTGCTTCCACCGCGCAGCCCTCCGGGCCGGCTCCGTGCAGTGGGCCCTCTGGGTCTGGGACTGGCTGGGGAGCTGAAGCCCGGGCGCGGTGTTAGGAGCCCTACCGGTCCGGGATCTCTCCGAGGCGCTTCCGTTGGGTGTTCATTAAAGGGTGAGTTATTGCTGCGCGAGCCAAAGGTCACTTCAAAGGCTTATGGCTGCGCGCTCTGGTCTTTAGAAGGGCCCTGAACGCTTTGTGTGGGGCTTTCCCCAGCGCAGTTTAGTGTTTGCAAACTACTGAGTCGACAAATTGCACAGGGCAGATACAAGAGGAGGGGACTGTGTCTCTCCTTTCACCTGACCAGGGCGGGCACCCGCTGAGCGCAGGCAGTGGTAGGCAGCTTGGTCTGTTTTGGGGTGGGGTGGAAGGGGTGTTTGCTTCTTTGCCGGTTTGCAGCTGGTTTGATCCCGACCCAGTTGTGGGCAGCCCAGGCCAGGAATGTGATGGGTACTGACTGGAATAAAATAAACTCAGGGAAATCATGGTAGATACAATGTACAAACCAAGAAATAACACCCAGCTCCCTCTTCTCTGTGGCTTCATGTGGGAGCCTTGGCTAGGACCCACCCAGGCCCACCTACACATTTGCCCTCCTCTGGTGCCCTGAGCTGTAGCCTCCCTCGGTCCCAATCCTTCAGTCCCTCTCTTTTGCTCCTTAGAGGGTGGGCTTGGCCTGGGGGATTGGGGAACATGGGGCTTTTAGGGCTTGGTTGGAATAGGAGGAGAGGGAATGGCTTCCCTGTGCCTCTAGCCCACTTGGCTCACCCCCTGCGAAAGGTCTGGTCCTTCCCCACCGCTCTGCCTCCCTTTCTCGCATCCAGTCGAGGATTGTGGTGTTAAAAGCCACCTGCTCCCCAGGAGCCAACCGAGTCTCCTTTGTGCGGGGGAAGGTGCTGGAGCGGCTGCAGACACCAGATAAAACAGTGACATTGATGATGACACCCTTAAAGGGGGTAATGTCTCTCCGCAGGTGTTGGTAAGAAAGAACTGGCCACTGCTGAGAGTTTTCCATTTTGTTCCAGATCATCTCAACAGAATATCAAAAGGAACCTGAAGAGCCTACAGAGTTAGAGACAAAAATTTGAGAACACACACACACACAAATTGTGGTGAGTGGTGTGATTTTTAAAAGTAATTTCCACTACACTTCCATTTGTCCTGCAACTCAAATTAGCCATCTCAGGATTCATACATCAAAACATAAAACAAAGGGCAGCTTTGAAGTGGATCACCTCGGTGTGAACTGCCGCTGGTTACATGATAACCGATCATCGGTCTTCAAATTTATGGCGCCTTAATAGGGTGAGCCCAGTGCCTTAAATGCAGGGTGTATTACATTGAGTTATCTGGGCTAAATAAGAGTGATTTAGAAGGCACGTCCAGGTCTTCCCATAGGGCAGAAGAGCTCAGGCTGAGAGATCAGGAGAACATGGGCAGAAAGCTGCCCCAGCTCTACAGTAAATAGAGCCCCTTCTTAGCAAATCGGAAAAGCAGTAGTTTCCAATCCCAAAGTAGTAAAGCCAGCAGGGAAGGAAGAATCGTTGCTCATTTCCAGTGAATTAATGGGGATGCCCAGCAAGATTGGTGTCTGCCAGAAAGACATCTGTGGGTTTCCAAGGCCCTGATTCAGGTAAAGCAGAGAAGCCCAGACCAGTTCGAACCTTAGAGGAAAAATTAAAAAAAAAAAAAAATAGAAACAACCTGCACCCCAACGCCTACCCCTTCTCTTTCAAGTTGCACAGACTAATCCAACCCGTCTTTGATTTTACGACCATCGCAGCTCTAGTCTAACCACCGGGCGACTGCAGCCGCCTCCCTCCCCAGCCCCTTTGCGCGGCCACTGAGGGCGGCGGGCGAACGCGCGCGGGGCCGGCCTCCGTGCGTCTGGCGAGTCTCCGGCCTCCAAGGCTGTAGCGGGCGGCAGGTCTCCGGTCCCTGGCCAGGCTGCACCCATCGCGTCCCACGTCCGGCCGCCAAGCAGAGCTGCTCCGAGAAGCCCGCAGAGGCCACTTTATATACTCCCCCTACTCCCCGGGTGCAGGGCCGGGAAAAGTGCGGAGCAGGGAATTCTTTTGCTGCGCCTCCTCCTACGCAGAGCCTGTTTTCCACTTCTGAAAAGTGCCGGGCCTTGGGAAGTGTTTTTCTTTTCATTCCTTACTGAAGCGTTTACTGCAGCCGTGCTCGCAGTCATAAATTTTGCTACAAACCACAATGACAGGTGCATTGATATGCACCGTGAGAGCTCCAGCTGCTTAATAACTCCGTCCCCCAGCCGCTTTGAGCGCCTTTTATTTATTCGGTATCATATTTAGGTATTGATCCCGGGCAGAATTAAGTGCAGTGAGCAAGTATCAGGGTTCGGCTGATTCGGAGGCGCAGAGGGTGCAGCGGGGATCCGGCGGTGGCGGCTCCGAGGCCGCCTCCCTTTCGGCTGAGGACCGTTTGGCCCTGCATTCCCGGCCGGCGGTTGGGCCTCCGAGCTGAGCTGGGCAACTCCCGGGGACCACGAGAAAAGAGCCAGCTAGATCCCATTTGGCGCGCCTGCCCTAGGAGTAGCCGAGGATGGCGCCGGCGGGGTTCTGGGGTGTCTGCCTTGGCCGCTGTTCCCGGCCAGGGGTGGGGGCAGGATTTGGGGGGAGAGGAGAGGAGGGGAGGAAAGGGCAGCTGAGGACTTGGAACACCACCCCTCCCCCTATGTGGCTTAGTCTTCACCCTAAGGCATCTGGGTCCTGCGGCCCAAATGAGCAGAGGTACCAAAGGGCGAGAAAAGAAAGCCCTAAAAGGGGAGGGGGGCTCGAAAAGATGAGCCACTGAACAGTTGACCATTGTCCAAGTGATTTATGACCCGTTCCTGCTTCTTAGGTTCAAGCAGAGTTCACAAGGAGTAGCGATTTCTGGAAAGAAATAAGCTGCTGCTTCTTTTTAAACCAGTTTTGTAACAATATTCTCAGGTTCTGTTTTAGGAAAGGTGACTTCTTTGGAGCTCTACATTTTGGGCTGAGGGAAGAGGCTACAAAGTCCTTCTCAGTGAGGAGAGAGCTATTGCCCTTGCTTCTGGAGAAATGGACATTTGGGTGGGGGATCATCTTGGAGTGACCCTTGAAATTCCTTAAGACAATGAAAACAGAAGAGGGAGAACAGACTCTAAGCTTACTCATGGAGCTGCCCAGTATTAGCACTTTTGAGGTCTGTACACAGAGCTTTGTCTGGGAATATTCCATAGGAACAAATATATATGTAAAGCCATCTGTTTCAAAGACTTGGTCAGTTACTAAAGAGGCTGTTTTACTGTGACTAGTCTACCTATCAAGATAAACTTGGTCACCATGGGAGGCAAGAGGGGGGATGTTTTGCTTCCACTGCTGTAGATGGAATGACAGAAGCAGCATCGAGTTCTGGTGGTCTGAGTGTCAAAAGTGACCATTTTGACATCCAAAGAGACCAAGGTTTAAGACTGGAAGCAGGATCCCAGAAAAATCCTGAGATCTAACCAAACTCAGAGTAGTCTTTTGGCCTGGGGGCAAACACATATAAATATTAGTCACAGAATGAGGATGTAGCTTTCCATTTAATATTCAGTAGCTTTAATAGTCAGATAATGATACAGAAAATGAATGAAAGAAGGATTAAGACCAGCTTTGTTTGGTAGATATCCTAACTGCATACGTTTAAGAACAATAATAGAAACTACTCCTAAAACATTACATCTGACTATTCTGTTATTTCATTGAGAAGCACTTCTCTTATCAAGATTAATGGCATGCTTCCTTATATTTTAAAACAAGATGAGCAACTATTCTACCAAATAAGGGCTACTGTGAAGAATTTTTAAAATTGAGTTAGGTTGTGTGGTGAAAATGGAGGGGAAATGAATGAATGGAGTTGTAGTACTAATGGTCAAATCCAGTAGGCCAAATAAGTGTCTAGATAATGTGGTCTGTCATGATGACCATGATGGAAACCAGGGAGTTTGGGGGAAGGAGAGTTGCCTGAAAGGTGATATCAAGAATTCAGATCTAGGAGCTGACCAATGAGTTTTCTTTATCAAGCAGATGAAAGTGGTTGAATAGTGCTGGTTACAGTTTAACTCATTAGGGGCTTTCAGAAGGAGAGGGGGGTAGGTGAGAAGGTAAACACCCATCAAGAGTCAAAGGACACAAAAAGGGTAGAAATTTTCTTAGTTTTTTTTTTTTTTTCCTTCTAATTCTATGTCCATTCATTATGCCATAAGAGGTCTCTCATTGGTTGTAGGTTGGAGGTGGAGTGGAATGGCTGATTGAGAGCAGAGGTGAATAGTAGTATCTATTCATACAATGGATGCAGGATTAAAATTATAAAGTTAGAGCATAAAGCATTTTTTATTAACCCATGCTCCATGCATTTCAAATTCTAAATCTCTTATTTCCAATGATATCTATTTAAAAGTGGTGGACTACAAAGTAAAGCATCTAGAAAAATGTAGAAGAGAAGAAACTTCTTTAGCCTCAAAATAACTCTTGGAGTCTTTAAGTCTTCTTCTTGGGTTTTATCTCCTGGTAGATTTCACAGTGCTGACCCATGTGCTAACTGGCTGATTCTGCCCCATTCACCGGAGAGTGGACTATCTGGGTCTCCGTGAAAGATGCTGTGATTTTGAAACCAGGTGGGGGAGATACTTTTTTTTTGAGAGTGCCGGCTGTTCTGAGTGTTAATAGGGCTTTCTTTTGCCCATGACATCCCTGGGATGACCTATGATTAACTGATTGATCCATTCATTCATTAAACATGCATTTACTGCACTTAACTGCATGTGGTGCATTGGGCTGGATGTTAGGAATATGTAGGTGAATAAGACACAGTCCATACCTGCAGAAAGCTCAAAGTCTAGTGAGAGAATCAGTCATTAAAATGTATAGGCCATAAGTGCTTTTCTATGCAGTTTCAAAAGCTAAATTGACAATCTTGGAGAAAGAAAATTGTATCTGGGGAAAAAAATTAGCCCTTTCCCTTGGATGAAGGGGAGTCTTTTCTTGTGGTTTATGAGAAATCCCTTTTGATGTTTCCAAGGGTTCAAATAAGTTGAACTTCATAAAAATCCCAGATCCTCCTACTATGATGTGGGTGGGAAGCAGAGAGCCTGGGCTAGTCCTTCTGTATTGACTGGTCTTGCCAATGACAGTCCCTCTGGGACCTCTCACTTTTCTTCTTTGCAGGTTATCTGGAGCCTGGGGCTGCCCCAGCTCTCTCAGGATTTGGCAGACATTGGAGGTGGTGGTGAAGGAGACAGTGGTGGTCAATGTTATTTGAGCAGGGTCAGCAGGCCCCGGAGGTTCCTGAGTACACGATGCAGAAGGCTGCTTACTATGAAAACCCAGGACTCTTTGGAGGCTATGGCTACAGCAAAGCTGCTGACACTTATGGCTATAGTGCCCCCCATCAGCCTTATCCAACCCCTGCTGCTGCCAGCTCCATGGACACTGATTACCCGGGCTCTGCCTGCTCCATCCAGAGCTCTGCGCCTCTGCGAGCCCCAGCCCATAAGGCAGCTGAACTCAATGGAAGCTGCATGAGGCCTGGCACTGGCAACAGCCAAGGTGGGGGTGGTGGCAGCCATCCTCCAGGTCTGAACTCAGAGCAGCAGCCACCACAGCCCCCTCCACCACCACCGCCACCAGCCCTGCCCCCATCCTCTCCCACCAACCCTGGAGGTGGAGTACCTGCCAAGAAGGCCAAGGGTGGGCCCAATGCTTCTGGCTCCTCAGCCACCATCAGCAAGCAGATCTTTCCCTGGATGAAAGAGTCCCGCCAGAACTCCAAGCAGAAGAACAGCTGTGCCACTGCAGGTAGCCCTCTGAGGGGGCTCATCTCTGGGCTTTCCCCCAGACTGACCCAAGAAGCTAGCTCACTTAGGAATTAAGAGGCTCAGGGCTGGAAGTACAACTTTGGAGGCCATATGTGTAAACTTGCAATGCAGAAATTGTGGGGTTTTTTTTGGCCGTACTGCATGGCTTGAGTGATCTCAGTGCCCTGACTGGGGGCTGCAGGTTGAACCCAGGCCATGGCAGTGAAAGTGCTGAATCCTAACCACTGGACCACCAGGGAGCTCCCTGTTCTTTCTTTTTAGTGTCTCTGGTTGTGGTCCTATCCCTACAGTGACAGGGTGCTGATGTCCACTCCAGGCTGCTGGCACCGCTGCTGGACATGTCTCACAAGTTATTCATAGACCAGCTCTTCCTTATACTGCCCTAATGTCTGGACTGCTGGTCATAACTCAACTCCTTCCAGTCAACAGATCTTCAAAACTTGAAGACAGGTACTATGATCCTCAAGCCCAGGGGGTGATGTAGCCCATATCACATGAATCCCACTCCCTTAAATTAATAAGAACTAAGGCTATTGAACACTATGTTAAGAATCATGTTAAGTGCTTTACAAGCACTGTCTAATTTTCCAAAGAAAACATCCATTTTAACAAGATAAGGAAAATGTTAGAGATAAGTCACTTGCCCAAGATAACTAAACTACCAAATGGCACACCTGGGAAATTCCCTGGTGGTTCAGTGATTAGGACTGTGCACTTTCACTGCGGAGGGGCACGGGTTCAATCCCTGGTTGGGAACTAAGATCCTGCAAGCTGAAAGGCATGGCCAACCCTCTCCTGCCCCAACAAAACAAACAAAATAAAGCGTATAAAAAGCAAAACCTCAAATCAAATGGCACATCTCAGGCCACTCCCACTCAATTCTCCCCATCCCAGGAAATCCCTAATGTGGAGGCACATATCCTAGGGGAAGAGGCTGTACTCTGAAACAGGAGAAGCCTTGGGTTTTTCTCCCTGGAAAGGGAGCCCCTGGTGTTGAGAAAATTTTCCCTAGGTCCATTTAGTCTGTGTGGAAGAAAAAGGGCAGGACCAGCAGCTCTGAGACCTTCTGCCACTCTGCTCAGCTTGCTTGATTCCTGAACTTTTCTGGCCTTGTGTTCTCTGATGCACTTTTTATCTTCAGGTAGATGAACTTGCTCCCAGGTCCAGGGCTAACTTGAAGTGTAGTTTGCTTGGGATGTAGTTAGCTTGTTATCAGATCTCTGGTTTGCCTGCTGCTCTTTGGGGCTGCTGCTCCTAGGGGGAAAGTGTCTTCAAGTCTGTAAGCTCCTTCTTCTGCCCCTCCTTCCCGGCTGCAGGCCTAGGCCCTCCCTCCCAGGAGAGATCCATTTGTCTTCCTAGGGAGGGAGTGGACAAGCTGCTGAGAGGTGGCAGGGGTGGTGGAAACCACTGCTGAAGCTGCTGCTCCCAGCATTGCAATACTCAAAATATGCCCAGCCTGGCCTTGGATGCCCTAAAACTCTAGGGCTATATTTTCATGGTATGTCTCCTCCCTGCACTTGAGTACTGGTCCCATGGGTGCAGTTGAGCTGGAGTGAGCTGCCAAGATCTCCACCCTCATTCCGTTCTTGGGGTGTTTTGCCCAGGAGCCAGCCTTTGAGCAAGGCAGTTTGAGGCTGCCTCCAATATTCCCCCCACCTACCTTCCCAGCAGCAGCGGTTGGAAGGAGTGTTCAAAGTGAAGCTGGCCCTTCTTTGACAGAGCGGGAGGCCTTACCAGCTGCTACTAGTCTCTCATTAAACTCCTCCTCAGCCTTGGGAACGGGATGATGGGCTAGGCTGAAGGGGAAGGGGTGGGCTGAGTGAGTTGGACTTCAGAAGGCAGATGGGAGTTTCAGGTGCCACTGATAGGTAGGCCTGGGGCCTTTGAGTTCTGGGAATCTCTGCGAATCTCACTGCTCTAACGCCCCTCCCTCGCTCCAGCCAGGATTAAAGTGGGGAGGGGGGAGGAAGAGGAAGGAGTCAGGGAAGCACCCCTCTACGGCCCAGGGTGTCCCCACATCTCCCGCTCAGCTACCTCTCTCTTCCCCTCCCGGCCCAGGAGAGAGCTGCGAGGACAAGAGCCCGCCGGGCCCAGCGTCCAAGAGGGTGCGCACGGCGTACACAAGTGCACAGCTGGTGGAGCTGGAAAAGGAATTCCACTTCAATCGCTACTTGTGCCGGCCACGCCGCGTGGAGATGGCCAACCTGCTGAACCTCACCGAGCGGCAGATCAAGATCTGGTTCCAGAACCGGCGCATGAAGTACAAGAAGGACCAGAAGGCCAAGGGCATCCTGCACTCGCCGGCGGGTCAGTCTCCGGAGCGCAGCCCGCCGCTCGGCGGCGCCGCGGGCCACGTGGCGTACTCAGGCCAGCTGCCACCCGTGCCCGGCCTGGCCTACGACGCGCCCTCGCCGCCCGCCTTCGCCAAATCTCAGCCCAACATGTACGGCTTGGCCGCCTACACGGCGCCGCTCAGCAGCTGCTTGCCTCAGCAGAAGCGCTACGCGGCGCCCGAGTTCGAGCCCCACCCCATGGCGAGCAACGGCGGCGGCTTCGCCAGCGCCAACCTGCAGGGCAGCCCGGTGTACGTGGGCGGCAACTTCGTCGACTCCATGGCGCCCGCGTCTGGCCCCGTGTTCAACCTGGGCCACCTCTCGCACCCCTCTTCGGCCAGCGTGGACTACAGTTGCGCCGCGCAGATTCCCGGCAACCACCACCACGGACCGTGTGACCCTCATCCCACCTACACAGATCTCTCGGCCCACCACTCGTCTCAGGGACGCCTGCCCGAGGCCCCCAAACTGACGCATCTGTAGCGGCCGCCACCGGCCCGAACTCGAGGCGCGATTACCTCTTTGGCTTTGGTGGCGGGGGTGGCGGGCGGGGCCTGCGGGGCAGCTCGGTGACCCCCCACTCCCTCGCTCTGGCCCGGTCCGCTGCCTCCCGGTCTCTGGGCCAACAGCGGCCGAGGCGCAGGCGCCTGGGCCTCCTTTCCAGGCGCACCCTGCTTTGGGTGACTCGCCGTAAATCAGCCGCAAGGATTCTCCGCTGTTAAACCTGACCGTGCCACATACTGCGGACCGAGGGACTCTAATCTGGTAATGGTGTCCCGAAGGTAAGTCTGAGATCCATCGGCGGCGCGCCTCGCAGAGGGTCCGGGCCTAGCCCGCGTCTGGTTTAGTTGCGGAGACCTTAATTTATATGCTTCTTCCCGTCCCATAAGAATTGCATCGGACTCAACGATCTGTATTTATTATTTGAAGCGAGTCATTTCGTTTTCTTGATTATTTATCCTCGTCTTAATGTATTTATGTGTATATTCGTAGAGTTCTCCAGCCGACTTTAGGAACGCGCTCCCGGGCTGCGGGGGGGCCACATATCACCTCTTTAGTCCCCTTGGTCTGAACTAGTTGAGAAAGTAGTTTTGAACAGTTGTAACCCGTGGCTGGTGTTTGTAGTTGTAAAGGATTAAGATCGCAAATTGTCCTTCACGGGTAGAGTCAGGAGGCCCCATGGCGTGGCACGACACCCGTTTTTCTTTTCCCAACAACCACAGCCTTCGCCACAGTTTATTGATTTCAAATTGTCTGGTACTATTTGAACAAATATTTAGAATAAAAAATTTCTCAGTCGGAAGTGTATCTGTGTTAATCACGCACACTTGCAAGTAGATCATTCTGCCTTTATCTTGTGCACAATCCCAGAGGAACCCCCACCCCCACCCCATAGGCTAACCTTGTGAAACATTGTTTCCACTTACTTGGAATCCAGTACACAAATTGGTTCTGGGGAATACTTGATTACTTCCTAGCTATTGACTTCAGAGGGTGCAATATCTGAAGATGCAAACCTAGAAATGTTCTGGGTGGAATGATCTGGGTAGGGTGTTTCTCTGCTGCCTGTTTTACTGTTTCTACCGCCCTCTTTCTAGATACAGATCCACCTTTCTAGGTTGCACTTACATTGGTGAGGCCAGAGCTCACTTTTCTGCATTAAGTAGTTAAAAAAAAAAAACAACTTTGAAAGAAAATTGACAATCAAAGAAAAGATACAAGAGAAGTCATAAGAAGAATTGAACAATGAAAAAGCTAAGATGCAGAAAAAGAAACGATCATTCGAAGCCATGCACCTAAGCTTTTTCTGTCGGAAATGCCCTCACGATTTTTTCCTTATAGAAATCAGTGGTTCATTTCTAAGAAAACAAACGTTCCCCACGATGTAAAGTAATAAAAGTTTCATTAATGGAACATAATAAGTATAAACACTTTGTTTACTCCTGTTTCCTTGTACAAAATGGGCAAAATGTCTCCGAGGATTTATAACCGTTTTGTAAATATTAGCGTGGTTTTAACTGGGGCGGACTGCTTACACCGGCTTCTCTAGGAGGAGGCACTCGGAAAACGCCTTCAGATAAGGTTCGATTCTTTTGTATTTCAGCAAAGTCGGCCCACGCATCTCTATTTGGTTTGACAAATAATGCAAGTCCTACTACATCCCCGGTGACACGAGGTGAAATTTCTATTGTGTGGAAATCATTTAACTTCTAATCTTCTGGTGGAACAACAATCGTTTCTATTTGGATGTTTGTGTTTCGCTAAATAATGATGGCTCAAAATAATATTTAGTTTCCTTGTTCCTTTGTGCTGTTTTTAAAATGGCATGTTAGATGGGGGCGGGAGGGAATTATCCTTTTTGCTAAATTTCACTTTATCTGAGCAGGTTTAAAGTATACATGTTGTAGAAGTGTATCAAAAGAATAAATGACTTCAACCGAAGGGATATTTTACCCACGTTCAAGGCTTAAAATTGTTTTTCTATGAAATTTGCATCCATAGGCAGAATTTCTAATTGTCTTGTAAGAAATTATTTTTTAAAGCTATTAGGGAAATCAAAGGAGAGCTTGCTGCCTTGCAGGGATTACAACAACCTTTCTTAACTGGCTAAATATTAAATAGATGAATTGTCAGGCTGTTTAGATTCAGCCTGGTTTTCCTCTCATCTCCTCTTCCTACCATAAATAATAATAAAAATACATAATGCATCACGGCTCCAGGCGTTTTCCAGCGCGGTGTGTTACCGCAGGAGTATCTGCTGAGTCTGCGGGTGTCTGCAAGGCCCCAAGTGTCATCTGCGGCTTAGGGTTTCATGGATTAGATTTTAAACGGTGTCTGGCCCGGTTGACATCAGCCTCCTCTCACACTCAGGCTCCAAAGAAGCGCGGGGTTGGGAGCTCCCTCTCCAAGCAGCTGCAGCCGGCCCCAAAGCACCCCCTCGCTAGCAGGGTGGGAGTCCTCTCCCACCTCTGGAGAAAGGTTCCCCGAGGCTTCCGGGAGCGACTCGGATGGCTGCATTCCTGCCCCTGGCGTGAGCGTCATGTGATGACCACACTCGGTCGCTCCCGGCGCGAGTGGGGGCGGCGGCCAGTCTTGGGAAGGCCCTTCCCGCGCGGCCGCCAGCCAGGGCGAGAGCGGAGCCCGCGCACAGCCATTTAAAACTGCATGAATTATAAACAAGCCGCCTTGGCCTTCGCCATAAATTCTGCTCTTTTTGAGCTGCAATTAGTGTTAGGAAGCACCGGAGTCTAAACACAACCAAACACCCTCTGAAGGGCCCAACTGCCCGAGGTTGCAAAGCTTTATTTCCCACTGCCACCCCCCTCCGCGGCCCGAGGTTTGCGCACACAGTCTCCTCCTCCCCCGCCACCGCCGGGGGTGCGCAGCCGGCTGGGTTCCCGCTCCGCGAGGGAAGGTCACAATAGCTGCTCTATCAGCGGAGGCGCCCGCCTCCCGCTCTCGGGTCTCGGGAAGGCAGAGAAAGGGCGGGGGGAGGGGAGCGCGGGCCCGGCAATGGCGCCCCAGGCCCAGGCCGCTCCTTCTCCCGTGGAGGACCTGCAGCGGGAAGGGGCACGTCTGCAGCGGAAGGACACCGCCACTCCAGACCGAGGCTTCTTCCCGGGAGCGGCGGGCGGGCTCCGTGGGGAGCTCACCACGGCCTCGAGGAGGCTGCTTGCTGGCCCCTCGCTGCCGGGCGCTGCTGGGTCGAGGGATCCGGGAGCAGCGGCGCCATTGTGAGCGCGGCTTCCCACGGGCCCCGCGGCGGGGAGGCTGCACAAAGGCGGCAAGGCGTCCGACACCCGCAGGTGGGGAGGGGCCGGCCTCGTTGCGGGCCTTGGGCTCGGGGAGGCTAGCCCCCTTTGCCCAAGGGGAGGAAATGGCTCTTTGGCTCTGGCCGTGGCCGGCTCTGCCCTTGTTTTTTTTTTCCCCCCTACTTAGCCCCATTGGAGGGAGGTTTTATCAGGGAGGTTGTGTGCGATTCTCCGGGGACCTGAAGAAAGGGGTCAGGGCCCCAAGCCCAGGCCTATGGATGGGGGTGAAAGTCATTTGGGAGCCCCCTGGTCCGTCTTGCCAATCAAACGTGAATTAAAGCAGGGTTGAGATGAAGTAGCTGGAATGACCAGCTGCAGAATGAGAGCTGGGGGTGGGAAAAGATTTAGGCACAGGGAGAGCCTGCCCTGGCTACCAAGGAGAAACTCAGGACCCAGCCTGCAGTGGAGTGAGAAAACCCTACTGACTTAGCCAAGCGGATGGGGAAGTTGCAGAGGAAAGGTGGCAAGAAAGGGCGGTAACACATTCTACCTCCTGGTTTTCAGACCTCAGCCTTATCTAAGGACCTCACAAAGAAAAATCCGTCGCAGACGGAATCATTATGTTAACTATCCATTTGTACCATTTCTTTGTACAGGCTTTCAAATAAGAGAGGGAGAGAATACAGAGCAAGTAGTTGCCCCTTGGTGAAACCACAAGCCTAGTCCCTCTCGGAGACATCGGCCAAATTGGTTTCCCAGGTCCCAGAGGCTGCTAACCTTGCTGAAAAGCATTTTTTAAATTTGTATCTGTAAGGAGTATTTTAAACATGGTAATTAACCATACTAGCTACTCATCCCTCTCCCTCCCCGATTCTGTACCAGCCAACTGACCCTTGAGTGAAGTGATCTTCTCAGCCAGCAGGCTTGAGCACCTAGGCTCCCCATCTGTTGAGGTTTTTCACTAGGGAGGGTGAAGAGGATGTGTGTGTGGGTGTATGTTTGAATAACAAAGGAGAAACCAAACATTCTAAAACTGTTTCTCTGCTTGACCTGGAGGAGCCAGAAGCCTGTTTACACCATGGATATTCAAGGGACATCCCAGGCCTGTTTTGACTTTATCCTGAGAATTAGTTGAAACTGCCTCCTGGAGTCAAGAATGGGTTAATCTCAGTTACAGAATCTAGGAAGGTCCTCTTCATCTGGCAACTCTTGGCATTACTCTGGTCCTTCTTTCAGAAACTGTAGGAAAAGAACAGGATGAACAGAAGTTCATATTAAGTAAATAAAAAGAGAGACAGAAGGCTCCAGTTCCCACAGGCCTATAGTCTGATTACTTCAGGGCACTGCATCTTCCCATAGCGGGGGTGTAGCTATGGCTTGGATGAGCGGGCCTATCCCTTAACACTTAGGGCACAGGGAAGTGAGACTGAGTCGCCAGCTGCACCCATACCACCTCTGAGGACTGGCTCTCTTAGATCTCTCTTGTAGAAGGTCTGGATGGAGAGAAAAAAAGATAGGGTAGATGAATCCTCTGCACTTACTGCACTGGTGATGCTGGTGGTAGAGAAGATCTTCAGAGAGGATGACATTTTAGTTATCACTGCTCCCTTGTCTTCTACTCCAGCTACAAAGCCCTTTATTTTGGGTGCCCAGAGTTGGCCAAATGGATTTATATGCCTGGCCCAAAGCCCATGCCTAAACATTTCACTCAGGTCTCATACTCACTTTGGCAAGTTGGGAAAGTACAAAGACAATTCAAAGATCCATTTTCAGGCCAGGCCCAGCCTTCTGAAGCACAGTGAACAAAAGGTTTCCACACATGAAGAACCAAAATTAATGGATGTCCAGTCATTTACAGTAGCAGAAGCAGGTGAAGGGTCCGCAGAAGACCAGCATGGTGGGAGATACTACAGAAGTCTTCTTGTCCCAGATCTTGTGGTAAAATGTCTTCTTCCTGTTCATTGCTCAGTCGTGACTCTTTGCTACTCTATGGACTGTAGCTTCGAAGGCTCCTCTGTCCATGGGATTTCCCAGGCAAGAATATTGGAGTGGGTTGCCATTTCTTCCTCCAGGGGTAAGTCTCTTGAGTGGTTCCTATATCTAGTTGGGGTCATTTTATATGGAAGAATAATATCTGGAAAATCGTGAGAATAGGATTTAAAAAAAATTATTGGTTTCTTTATTTGACTGCACCGTGTCTTAACTACAGCATGTGGGATCTAGTTCCCTGACCAGGGATTGAACCCGGGTCCCCTGCACTGGGAGTGCGGAGTCCTCACCACTGAACCACCTGGGAAGTACCGAGAATAGGATTTTAACATTAGTAAGAGTCCAAAGAGGAGATCTTAATTGAAATCAGGATGCATGGAGAATCCTGGTACAGAGGCAGTGTTTTAGGGTGGGGAAGCGGGCTAAAATCCGTCCGAGTGCCTATTGGACCAAGGCCTTTTTGAAGGAGGCGATGAGAGTCCCTGACTTAGGAAACAGGGAGAAGGCCTTTTGATGGCTCTATTGTGAGGAAAGCTGCCCTAAAATACCACACCCCTCCCCATTTCCAACTAGGGCCTGAGGGCCAAATGACCGGGAAAGTGGGTCTGTTGGGTTGAACTCCAGGCAGTGGCAGAGCCAGAACTGACCTCCTTCACCCTAGTCTGCTAACCCCTTGGGGCAGCAACGATGCCATCTCCGTCGCCAGCAAAAACACACAAAGGAGGCCCCTACCCAGGCTCGAACCTGGGGGCACACTGGAGAGAGGGCCGGCATGGACCCCGGGTCGGAGAGCCTCCCACCCCCACGGGGAACAATAGCCGCCGCCCTCCCGGAGCGGTGGGGCGGTCGCGCCGCACAAAGGCCGGCTCGGCCAGAGCCATGTGACGCGCGCTCCACCCGCTCTCCCGGCGGCGCGGCGGACGGGAGGGTGTTCCGACCCACCTGGAACACTTTCCGAAAGACAAACGGTGAGTTAATCACCCAACCGGCTGGCGACCGCGTCCCCCTGGCCCGCGGGGAGGCCAGGGGAGGGGCTGGGGTGAAGGCCTGCTCCGCCTGTGTGTCTAGGCTGGAGGCGGGCGAGGTTAGTTCTATTAAGAGTTCATCAATCATCGGTGTGCACTTTTCGCTCGACAGCGGTTCCGCCTACTTCGGAGCAAGTCCGGGCCAGCTGGGATCCGACCAGAAACCGCAAGCGGAGGAGACGCGGGTACGCAGGCTGACCAGTAACGGAGGGCGCGACCTGCCGCCCCGCGCTCTGCCGCGCCAGGCCCGAGGGTAGCGCCGCCCCGTCCTCCCATCGCCAGGGACCGCAGCAGCCGCGCCCGCGGGCCACGCAGGGCGCCCGGGTCCCCCAGCGTCCCGGCCCCACCTCCAGGCCCCCCTCCGCGCACTTCCCGCTTGCCCCAGTGACACCCTTCACCGCTGCTGTCCCCCCAGAAAGGGACAAACCCGTCTCTGAGGGCATGAGAAGAAACCTCAATAGGTGGCAAGGTTCTTGCAAACACTAACAGTTTAATAAAGGATGTCCCGAAGGATCAGAATTCAGGGGAGACGCTGAACGAGTTCTCTCATTGATCTTCAGGACTATTTCCTGTTTGTACGGGAGGTTAAGAACGCCTGTTGAACTTGGAACTAAACTTGAATGCCATTTAAAATAACCATTAAAATACACTTAAAACACTGACCATAATGATATGCCTCTTCTCTCTTTTGTGATACGAGGGAAGGCCTGGAGTAGTTTTACTTCAGCTCTTGGGGGTTCATTTTCGAAAACGTAGTCCATAGAGGAGCAGACCACAGCTGGGGGGAGGGGCAGGCTTCAGTCAGAGCTGTTCACAGCGGGAAGGCCTGGGTGAGTGGGTGGGGAAGCACTCTTACACCACCCTCTTGAGTGGCATCTGCTGTCCTCTTTGTCACAAATTCTAAGAGAGTTCTGGGCTACCCTCTCTTTTTAACTTTTGTTCTCAGTAATATGAGAAGTTTCCCAATGTGTCTCAGCCCACAGTAAAGGGCCTCTGAAGGACAGAAAATCCCAGCTTTCTCCGTCTCCCCTTAGTTCTCTTCTCTCTCACCATCCTCTTGCGTGGAAATAGCTTGTTCTGGAGAAATGTTCTACTATCATTTTCCTCAAATGGATATAAGCTGAAGCATTAAGGCCTCCACAGTGTCCTGAACTCCTCCAGCAGTTAAAATATTGAGGTGAATTTGGGTTCCTGAAGTATAGGAATTTTTTAAGCCCAAGAAGGAGGGATCTACCAGGTGGAGAGAGCAGCACATACTAAAGCAGCGAGGGAAGAAAGAGCAAGGTATGGACCTAGAACAAGGAGAGGAGCTCAGAGTGAGGCATCTGGCTGGACAGAGAGGCTGTAAGGGCCACGGAAGGGCATCTGGACTTAACATGTAGGCAAGGGAGCGCCACTAAAGGTCTTAAGCTGGGACATGTGGTTATTTGCTATCTATATTTGGAAAGCTGACTCTAGGGGGTACTGTGTCTGATGGGAGAAAGGAGAGATAGGAAGTGGGAAGGACAAAGAAGGAGGCTTGCTGCCATAATCCAGCCTAGAGAGGGAGTAACTTAATAAGGATGAAGAGGAGAGGCATTTAGGAGGAAGAATTCAGAGGACCTGGTGATCAATTGGATTAGTGAAAGAGGAGTTGTGGATGCTAATCCCTAGGTTTTGATTTTGACAGCCTAAGCAGGTAGTCAGTTATCCACCAAAATGAACAGTGAAGTGGGAAGGGAAGACTGCAGGGGAAATGCATGAGTTCAGGTTTAGGTCTCTGTTCATTGGTTTCTGCTTTGCTAACTGATGCACTGTGTGACCCTAAGATATTCACCTAATCTTTCTGGCCTTCACTTTCATCATCAATGAAACAGTCAATAAAGATATCTACAGGTTTATCATTAGTAAAGCAGTGTGCATGTGTGCACTCCCAAGCTTAGGAATTATCTTTATCAGGTCAACAAAAAGCTAAAATCTAGGGAAAACATCCTCTTACCTCCCCCCCCCCCGCCCTCCCGCCCCCATGCTGATCAATACTTAGATCCTGGGTGGCCAGTGAGAAATAAGTCTCAGGGAAATTAAACACAACATCCTACTGCTTCCCAGATACTGAATTCAAGCTAATGCTTAGGACTGGGTCAGATCAGATTGCTAATCAGAGTCCCTCAGCTTCCAGAGGAAGCTCTCCAGGGGAACATGCAGAAATGTGGTCTTGGTATCAGACCACTAAAGAGGCGGCCTCTAAGAGATGTCTGAAAGCTTCTGTACATTTTTATACCATGTGTCTTTCAGGGAATGCTTGAAGTCACCCATTCTCTTTAAATCTTAGGCTTCCTTGTGTCACAGTGTTGTATAGGAAAGTGCTGAACATCTGACCCTAGCCATTTATATTCAATGTGACTTCAGTAAGTTGTTTCTTTTTTCTGTGTCACTATTAGCATTTGTAAAACAGAATTATAATAGGATCAAATAAGATAAAGAAGAATGACATTTTTGGAGGTGCTATAAGGGTAAGTAAAAGGTATTATCTTTCACTTATCAGATTGCCAAAAATAAAATCTTTAATATCCCACTGACTTCTCAAAGACATGAGGAAACAGGAATTCTCATATGTTGCTGTAGAAGTATAAATTGATTCACTTCTAAAGAGAGCAATTTAGCAATTGCTAAAACATTGCCAGTGCTAAAACATTGCTAAAACATTGCCAGTGCTAAAACATTGCTAAAAACATTGCCAGTGCACATATATTAGATTCAGTAATTTCATGTCTAGGAATTCTTTCTAATAGGCAAAAAGTTGAAAATAAATAAATGCCCACTAATAAGGGACTAGCTAAATAAATTGTGGTAGATGTATATAGTAGAACAGCATAAAGGTGTAAAAATAAAGTAGAAAGAAAGGATCTTCAAGCTATAGTGGGGGGAAGCATGGTGCAGAAGAGTCTTGTGTTATCGTTTATATAAAAATGTGGGGAGATATATCTCTAGATATTTATCTATCTATAATTGTGAAGTAGAAAGTATTTCTGGAAAGAGATACTCGTAAAATTGGTGAAGAAACTCATAAAATTGGTGTTCATGTGAAGGAGAACTAGGTGGCTGGGGACAGAGGTAGGAGAAAGAAAGGGTACCCTTTTGTACCCTTTGAATCTTGAATCACATAAATTTAAACTAAATAGCTACAATAAAGATAAGAGAGCAAAAAAAATTGGCATAAATTTTTTTTTGGTCGTACCACTTGGCATGTGGGACCTACCCTCCCCCCTCCCCCGGCCAGGGATCAAACCCAAGACCCCTGCAGTGGAAGCATGGGGTCTTCACCACTAGGCTGCCAGGAAAGCCCCAAAGATCAGTTTAACTGATGTGGGTGTACTTTTGCATGTTCACACATATAAATGGCAACCCCCTCCAGTACTCTTGCCTGGAGAATCCCGTGGACAGAGGAGCCTGGTAGTGTACAGCCCACGGCATCACAGAGTCGGACATGACTGAGTGACTTCATTTTCACTTTTCACTTTCATGCACTGGAGAAGGAAATGGCAACCCACTCCAGTGTTCTTGCCTGGAGAATCCCACGGACCGGGGAGCCTGGTGGGCTGCTATCTATGGGGTCGCACAGAGTCGGACATGACTGAAGCGACTTAGCAGCGTCGAACTATATTAACCTAAGGATACCTCTTGTTTTATCTTCAGAACCCTGATGCCTATCAGTTGAACAGGAAATGAGGGGATCCTTTACCTTCATGGAGGGTGTAGGGACCTAGGCTCAGTTCTACCCTTTCTAGCTGGAGCAGCTCAAGGTGGGGCCTCAGAAGTCTAGGGCACAGGTTTAGCAAACAAATGGCAAAGGGAGGGCTGCAGCCGGTCAGCCCGCTGGCTGTGTGGTCTCCTTGAATGCTGCTCAGTCGCTCAGCATGGAGGCCACCACTGTGTAGAGGAGGGCTGCCCGACTCTGCTCTTGGCAGACTAGAGACGCAGGAGACCCCAGTGGCCACCCTCATCTTTTGCAGGATGGCTTGGCCTTTTAACTTCTGAGTAAATAAAGTAGCTTCCCCACTAAAATAACGGGTTTGATGTCACTTCTCTCTCTAAGGGGTCTTTCAGCATTGACATCCTATGCTGCGAAAGGTCAATCTTTAGCCACAGTAAGAGTTACACCTTAGGCCAAGGGACAGTGGCCCCCTTTGGATCCTGAGAGCTTAAATGCTCATTCCAGACCATTTGGGAGAGATGGAAGGAAATGAGAGCTGGCTTCTCTCTCTTAAGACCCCCGTTCCTACTCTTTCCTTCTTCCCATTGCTTCCAGAACCACTCAGCTCCCTCTGAAGGGACTGAGAGTGACAAATCCCTTTCTTTCACTTCCTACTCCACTTCATTCTCAAAGTCAAGTTAGGGAAGTGGCAAGAAGTGAGCTGGCTCTCTTCAAAGCACTATTTTGTCAGCAAAACTTGGGATACTCCTACCGACTGCCTTTTAAGGACATTTTCTGGAACGTCAGTCTAACTAGACTTAAGTTCGATCTTGACGTTGATCTCTCCTCCTCTACCTCCCAATGGGCTTCTGGGTCATTTTCAGGTATAATCCTGCTCCATTCAGCCATAAGCTCTCATCGTGCTGGTCAAGATTTATCCTGTCTCCCCACATCGCCCCTTAGCCCAGCTCCTAAAGCAGACATTTTCAAAGTGTGGTTCTGAAGAATACTGCTTTAGAATCATTCAACAGATTCATTAAAAAGAAAGATTCCTGAGTCAGACCTATTGTATTAGAAGCTCAGTGGGGCTGGGGAAAGGCTAAGGAAATTGCACATTGAAACTAGCTTCTCTGGTGATTCCCACTGCTAGGAGCCAGTAATCTAAGGATATCCTTTAGCCAACATTGGTCATGGTGAAGACACACCGTTCTGTCCATTTTCATTTCTGCCCAACAAACATTTCTTGAATGCCTCCTATATGTCAGGGACGGGCTTGACCCACAAGCCTTTCACAAAGCTCTAGGAAAAGTCACAGCACACTAGACTGTTTCCCTCAGGGAGGGTCATGGTATCAGACTTCTGACAAGCTTTGAATTCTTATCTTTAGGATCCTGTTCATCTCTACCCCTATCTTAGGATAGAAAGATGTTGCAGAGAACTACAAATCTTTCTTAAGAGAAAAGACAACCCCACTTTTTATCCCAACAAGCAAGAGCCTTTCTGTCCTTTGGGACTGTGAAGCCAAGAGTTTGCCTGTGCTCAAGCATCCCTGGGCTTCTCAGGTGGCACTAGTGGTAAAGAACCCACCTGTCAATGCAGGAGAAGTGGGTTTGATCCCTGGGTTGAGAAGATCCTTTGGAGGAGGGCATGGTAACCCACTCCAGTATTCTTGCCTGGAGAATCCCATGCTCAGAGGAGCCTGGGGGGACTATGGTCCACAGGGTTGCAAAGAGTCGCACAGGAATGAAATGACTTAGCAGGCACACACAAGCATCTTAAAGGGATAACACAATGGGACTTGTGAAGTAGGATTGTAAGAGGCTTTTCAGGAACAACTGTAAACACACAGAAGACTAGACTGCCAGCCTCCACTGCTCTGTCTGCAGAAAGAAGCTTGTTATTTGAATGGCAGAGAGAAAGGTAGTCCCCGGGGGTGGTTGGGGGTGACTGCTGTGGTGAGTAGGATGGGAGAGATTTCAAAGCATTCCTACATCAAACACAACCTGGCAGTCAGGCCCCTAGGCTGCCCCCTCCTGCTGAGAACTCACAGCACCAGGACCCAGCAGGGCAAGTGACCCTTGGGAACAAGCAATAAAATCCTTAAGATGTTTCTTCTATACTCTGTGAACTTCTAGGAGACAAATTTTAAAGGTACTCAAAATATCCTATATTCACATCTTTATATATACAATTGCCCCGATAATACCTTCCAACATCTCCTTAGAAAATTAGAAGATTCAAATTTTCCAAGAGGAGATTTATAGCATAGCTAACATATGTCAAAAACGAATTCCTTGTTCCTATGGTTTAAGAATATCTTTTTTCTTAGCCTAACCCTCCCCTAACAAAAAGTTCTTACACAGTAGGTCTTTGGCAAATGTTTATTGAATCTGAGTCTGAGATAACCAAACTCTTGACTTTCATCCTGAGCAAGTCAGAACAGCCCAGGAGTGGAGATGGCAACTCTGAGCCCCAGGGTGTAGTATATGCCAAAGGCTGGGAGATTAAAGGGAGTAGAGAGAAGGATGAATAGAATATAGCTCTTTGCATGCAATTATCAGGGACCTGTTACTGGGTCTGAACAAATACTGAAAACCGCACCTACTCACTCTCCACCACAGTTGTTAAAATGACACACTTTTTAAAATCTAATTTTTAGATTATTAATTTTAGATGTCCCTTTCAGGACGTTTTCTTCCCTCAGTAAAGCTCAATCTCCCAAATTTCACTTCAGGGGAATAGCATGTGCAGCTCATGGGTGCAACAAAGTCAGTACTTAACTGTGACATGCAGGACCCAACCTTTGTTCCAAATGCTTAGCAGCAAAAACCCAGTCTTTGTTGAAATGACAGTTGCCAAGGCATCTAGGCTGCCTGTTTTTCCTGAAACCTTAGAGAAAAAGCACTTAATTTGATAAGTTTGGGGCATATTTGCCAGACAATGGTTTTCTGTCCTCCACCTGGGTTGCAGAGGGCTGGAGGTCTTTCTCCAGAGAAGTTGACAAGGCCACCCTTCCTTCTTGACCCTCTTGGGCCTCTGGACCTAGGAGCTGTGATCAGATGAGTACCATCTGAGACTGGGTCTTCTAGTTTTGAGACAGGAGTGTGAGAGCTGAGACATTATGCTGGTAAAAACTGGTAAAAATTGAAGTCTAGCCAGTGAGGGGTTAAGGGACATTGTGACCTATTGATACTTTTGCATTAAGGGTACAGAAGGAGGACAGTGAAGAAGAAATGCCCATATATTTGAAGCCTGAGTTAGCTCCAAAGAGGTCTATTATTCCCCAGCCAAGGTGCCAGAGAAGAGCCTTAATTTTTTCTTTTAAAAAACTATTTAGAAAATAAAAATTATGTAGGCCCTTTGCTGTGTGACTGGCTACAGGAGATAATTGAAGTAGCAATATCAAGCTTGAAGGGCTATTTTCCAGCCCAGAATTTTATTTCCCAGCTAAACCCAAGCACTTCAGCAGTGCAGGAATCCTAGACCTCTTCAGCTTGGTGCTCATTCCTTGGTGTCCACCCTCTACCTACCTCCTCTCATCCTGGCTTAGCCCTCCCCCATTCTGGCTCAACTTCAGCCTCACCACTGTGGTTAACACTTTCGGTGCCTCTCTGTTTATTCACAAGTTCACATCCCTGTAAGGAACTGGCTCCCTGGACTGTAACCACTCCTATTTTCCAGACTTCCTCAGAGTGGAATTTTAGGCAAGGGCTCAATCGCTCTTTCATGGCAAGTGGATCAGTAAAACAATAATAAAACCTCGGTCACCATAACTCAGAGGCTATAACAGATCAAGTTCTTAAGAGCACTTGAAAAAGCCAAGAGTAGGCTCTTTATTCACACAGACTTTTAGGAAACCACCCTCTTTCATTACTGCTGTGTGTAAATAACATCTATTTATTTAACTTGTTACTTTTCCTAGGGCCCCAAAGAAGGAAACATTAAAAAAAAAAATGTTCAAGGAAGTTGGAAAGTTTGTCAGTGCAAAGCTTTGTAACTCTTCTACCGCTCATTTCCTGTGCCAATTGCACTTTTATTTCCCGTCTCTCTACACTCAGTAAACAAAACCATATTATCAAGGGAAAGACGTGAGCCCATTAACATTGTGAGCCCTCAGATTTCACTCGCAGGAGACGACGCAGCACTTATCTGATGGAACAGAAGCTTTAATTGCTTAGAGGCACAAGCCCGTCCAAACCTCTGAGATCTGACTGGTCCCTGGGAAGCCTTTGCGCCCTGGAGCCAAAGTACCTCTAAAAAAGCGGGCGCATCACGGGTGCGAGAGCCAATCTCCCAGAGAGGAGCACAGCAAGCGACTCATCCCCGCGGCAGATTCTTTTACAAACCAGTCCGCGAGGATAAGCTGCTAAACGTCCCACGGGCAGAAACTTTATCTTCTGTCCAAATCAAAACCCGCACTCTAACACTCGTTTCTCAGGCACCACAAATGGGAGCAGTGGAAGAAGCTGCGAAGTAACATGAAAATCTAGCCTAGAAGTGAAGATTTTGTGCCGTCCCAGCTACATAGCACCTACAGCGTCAAATATATGTCCCCAAAATCGGGGATAAAGAGAAAAGGAAAATTAAACGTCTACTCCAGGTTTGCGTGCTTAGTCGCTCAGTCGTGTCCAACTCTTTGCGACCCCATGACCTGTAACTCTGCAGGTTCCTCTGCCCATGGGGATTCTCCAGGCAAGAATACTGGAGTGGGTTGCCATGCCCTCCGCCAGGGGATCTGCCCAACCCAGGGGTCGAACCCAGGTCTCACGAATTGGAGGCGAATTCTTTACCGTCTGAGCACCAGAGATATCACCGGTGCCAAGAACACTGAAAGCACATAGGGTTCAGAGAAAAAGGGAAGAGAAATAACTTTACCTTCCCTGGAGGAGGCTAGGAAGCGGTTCCGGAGGGCCTTTTAACCCTTCCCACACCGCGGCGCCCACCATCCACACCCGAGGGGCTGGCCATCCAGGCTGTAGGAGAACAGGCTCTCTCCCTCTCCATCTCTCCTCCTCCCCCGAGCGGCCCTTCCAGCTTTTCTGCCCCTAACCTGCCCAATACCTGTCCGGGAAGCGGGCGTTTAGCGCTCAGGCCCCGCCCTTAGCCAAGCAGCCCCAGGGCCAGAAGGCTGTCCCCTGGGCCGGGGCGGGCGCGGGGCGCGGCCTCCAGCCTGTTTGGCAAAGTTGGCGGCGGGGCAGGCGCGTGGAGCCGCGCGCCAGTCGGGACCAGGGCCGTGCGGGGACGGCGCCCATTGGCCGGTCGGCGCCACGTGGCCACCCCGCCCCTATATTAGGCCACTATTTACCCCCGGCTGGCTCGCCATGGCTCGGCGAGGACAGGTCGGCTAGATCGGAGAGGCGGAGCGGCGCAGAGCGCGGCGGTCCTTCGGACCCCGCACCCAGGCCCGGCCCGCGCGCTCCGGTGGGTGGGCCGGAACCATGAGCTCCTACCTCGACTACGTGTCGTGCGGCCGGGACGGCGGCGACTTGCTGAGCTTTGCGCCCAAGTTCTGCCGCGCCGACTCCCGGCCCGTGGTCCTGCAGCCCGCCTTCCCCCTGGGCAGCGGCGACGGCGCGTTCGTTAGCTGCCTGCCCCTGGCCGCGGCCCGAGCGGTGCCCTCGCCCCCGGCCGCCCCGGCGCAGCCTCCGGGGCCTCCCCCGGCCGCGCCCGCGTACGCGCCGTGCCCCCTAGAGGGGGCCTACGAGCCAGGCGCCGCACCTGCCCAGGCGGGGGGCGCGGACTACGGCCTCCCGGGGTCCGCGCCCGCGTACGATTTACCGTGCGCGCTCGGGCGGCCGGCAGACGACAGCGGGGCGCACGTCCACTACGCCACCTCGGCCGTCTTCTCTGGCGGCGGCTCCTTTCTCCTCAGTGGCCAGGTGGATTACGCGGCCTTCGGCGAGCCGGGCCCCTTCTCGGCGTGTCTCAAAGAGCCGACCGACGGCCACTCTGGGGCCTTCCAGACCGCGTCCCCGGCTCCCGGCGTCTACCCCAAGTGTGCGTCCCCAGCCTCTGGCCTCCCCGCCGCCTTCAGCACGTTCGAGTGGATGAAAGTGAAGAGGAACGCCCCGAAGAAAAGTAAGTACTTGGGCCTTGGACGGACGGACGCGACTGGGGTTGGGGATCGAGCCTGCCCAGAGGAACTGAGCCGAGGGCGCGCTGCAGCGGTCCCTGTGGACGGCAGTTTGGGTCTTAGGAGGGAAACGCGGCCCCAGGCATTATTAAACCAGGCGAATTGCATTGAGTGTGCCCCGAATGCCAGGGGTTGAAAAAATTGCGTGAAGGAGCGCTCCGTGAAGCTTTTCTCTTGGCACAGCTGTGTTCGGAGACCCGGAAGGGCCGCTCAGTGACTCTGATTCTAGTGTGGCCCCAAAGCTCTCCCAAGTCGCGTCTCCGAGTCGTCTCGCCACGCTGACGACGCCCTGTCTTTACTTTGCAGGCAAATTCGCGGAGTATGGAGCCTCCACCCCCTCCAGCGCGATCCGCACCAATTTCAGCACCAAGCAACTGACAGAACTGGAGAAGGAGTTTCATTTCAATAAGTACTTAACTCGGGCCCGACGCATCGAGATAGCCAACTCATTGCAACTGAATGACACGCAAGTCAAAATCTGGTTCCAGAACCGCAGGATGAAACAGAAGAAAAGGGAACGGGAAGGGCTTCTGCCCTCGGCCACCCTCGTGGCTTCCTTCCAGCTTCCCCTCTCAGGAACGAGCCCTGCCAAGTCTGGCAAGAACCCGGGGAGCCCCTCTCAGGCCCAGGAACCATCCTGAGGTTTAGTCACGTCCCTGAGGAACTGTGGGCTGCAGAACTCATAGGCCACCTCACCCCTCTCTGGACTTATTAGCTCAGTTTGGAATGGAGGTGGGCACGGTGGAAATAAGAGTGGTTTCACTTGGGAGAGGAAATATCTTGGTGGCTTCTGAGTTCCGGGCTGTGGGTGTACAGATGTTAATTTGAAGTCTCTAAAGCCCCTCATCTGTGTATTAATTGTGTCTTATCAGGGAAGAGGTGCCCAGCCGCCAGCCCTGCCCTTCTGCTATGTTGCCTAAGTTAGTCATGTGCAGTTTTCGGTGCAGAGTGGCAGAGCATTCCTTGCTAACTGCCAGCCCCCTGATGTGCTCAGAAGAGCATCTACCCAAAGTTTTATCTGGTTTTAATTTAAAAGACAAGGCTACATGATTCAGTTTCTGATGACCAAAGCTAGTTATACTTAAGGCCTCCTTGGTGTATAAGCTGCTTCAACCGCGATCCTTACATCTGCACTACATCCCCCCTTCCCCACCCCCTTAAAAAGCAGTTTCTACCTCTCCAGGTGCCTAAGTGAAGATACAATCTCTGTTTAGTTAGTGGCTGAAGAAATGCACAGGGTGCGTAAAGATCCTGAACTATACCTTGACACCAGTTACTCAAACTTGAATGTAAATATATACAGTATGTATATTTTTAAAGAAGTTTGCTTGTAGTGAACTTACATATGGCATTTAATGTCAGCATGTAAATGGTTTGAACTTTTTTTGGTAATAAAAATTACAGAATGTGCCACTTTCTGCTTTTCCTTATACTCCTTTATTTTGATGATCTTTCTTTAAAGCTGATTCAGTTTCTTCTATTTGGAATTCTGCTATGGAAATTTGTTAGGCTGGTAACTTTAAAAAACAACACTTTTTAAAAAAAATTAGTTGGAGGCTAATTACTTTACAATATTGTAGTGGTTTTTGTCATACATTGACATGAATCAGCCATGGATTTACATGTATTCCCCATCCTGATCCCCCCTCCCACCTCCCTCTCCACCCGATCCCTCTGGGTCTTCCCAGTGCACCAGGTCCGAGCACTTGTCTCATGCATCCAACCTGGGCTGGTGATCAAAAAACAACACTTCTTGAAGGCTATTTATGCAAACTAGTTAGGGACAATTATCTGAGTAGTTTAAGGGAGGAGAAACCTAACTCTGCCCAATATACCAAGTAACTATAGAAGTATTTGCTTACCTTAAGTGCCCAAGTTTTATGGTGAATATGTGGACTGCACTTTAAGTTTAGATGTCCACTGTGGGGATGATGTATAGCTAAGGAGACACTGAAGAGACATCTCCTTGTCCTTTTGTCTTCTGCTCTCACAAAAGGAAGAAGAAAGACAACTTGAAGACTTTGTTAGTTGGTCAGTGTTCTCTGAGAAAGGCAGCTGCACATCAAAAAGCCTCAGTGGCTGAATTCTCATTTTCAAAGTCAAGAATTACAGAGGTGGCAGGGAGAGGCCAGTACAGTAGTCAAGATTTCCACTTTAACCCAGACTTTGTGTTTAACCTTATAAGAACATAGACATACCTTTCTGTTTTTTCATTTTTTTAATGATATATTTTCAAATGAATTTTTTTGAAGGAGTACCCCAGGCACAAAATAATTGAAAGTTGGCAAGAAGGTATGTGATTAAAAAAAAAAAGCCTCTTACCTTATTTCCATCCAGCCCCCCAGTTCCCACCTGAAATCATCCATGGTTGAGCAGGCTTTTATGTAACCAAACACAATATTACTTGAAAAACTCTGGTGTTAATACACAAAATCAAGCGGATGCTTGGGACAGTTGTGTGGGGGTGGAGGAGCAGTTCATTTTCCTCACTTCATAAGTTATAGACATATCTAAATTCTCTATCTAGTTTGACTGAAAGGCTGAAAGGCCCGCAATAATCCAGCTAAGAGCATCAGCTCTCCTTTTAACTGAATTTCTAGATTCTAGTGTAGTACTTAAAACCAATAATTCAGAAGTCCAATAATTGTGGAGAAATACTTTCTCTATAAAACAATAGTGTCATTGTCTTAGAAGATTGAAATTACACTTAAATTCCTGTCCATTGGACCCAAAGTTTGATGGAGTTGAAGAAATAAAAGGATCAACTCTAACAAACTCAGCTGATTATGGGGGAAAGATACCATTTATAAAGCAGGTCTGTCAATATTATTCTTATGTTTCACCATCTGCCCATCACTAACCTGATGCTAATCAGATCTTGTTTGAGATAACAGCCCCCCCTCTGAGCTCTGTAGTAATTTGAAAGGACTTGTTAAAGAGTTGTGATCTGCTTGCCCACAGCTACTTCCGGGCTTCCCCTGCAGTGGTCTTTGACAAGACAATGTTTCTTTTTTGATAAGCATTGAAATGCACACCTAAACAAAAAAATAGCTACACACTTGGTCATTTCCTTAATCTACCACTCTTTTCTCTCAGAAAATAATGCTTTTCCTTTTGAAGCTACTAGTAGCACTTAGCCCTGATGCATGTCTTTCCTGATGAAGGTGGCTATTCTGACATACGTATAATGCTGTTCTACGAATCAGGCCAATATTAGCTATTTTTTGACCAACCCCAGGGATCTTTAAAAGCTTTCTTAATGCAGATCGCTAAACAGCTATATTCGGTATTAGGGAGAGTCCTGGCTGGAGATTGGGAGGAACTAGGTGACCTCTGGAGGTCCCTTCCAGCAATGAAAATGCTACAGAAACAACTGAATGACTTTTGCTGATTTTAATTTAGGCCTATCACTGGAAGAAAGAGAGTTCAGTTCTGAGAAAGCAAATGCAACCCCTAGGTTTACAGTGATAATACAGAAAAAGTGAATATTAAACATTATTAAATATATCTTGTCAGTGGAGATACCACTATGTTGAGCCTGTGTGGATGTTTGTAGGGCATTCCTCTTCCATTTATTCAGAGCCTTGTGGTATTTTGAGTCAGATCTTCCATGAAATGTGATGGTTACTACACAAACTATGAAACTGCTACAACAATCCATCCCATTTCTATTTTATAAGATTTTGAACTAAATATGCAAATTTATCTTCTAGCAACTCGTTACAAGAATGAATACACAGTGGACAGCTCTATCTGTTATATAATTAACTATTCAATGTTCCTTTGTCTTCACAGAATGACTATGTGTCTAGTTTTCCGGATTCAGGATAGCTGGGAGTGAGGAAGAAGAAATAAAGCATTTAATAAAAAAATTTCCATTACTGTACTTGACTACTAGCAAACAAAGGACTTGCTGATGTAAAAACATAAAGCAATGTCACCAAACCCTCAAAAGATTAATTGTATGTGATTTATTCTGCCTCAGTCTTACGTAAAGTGAGGCCTGAGACCAGACGAGGTTATGTCCAATAATCATGTTATCAGAAAAGAGGAGCAGGCTCAGGAGAATTGCAAAAACTCTGAAGTTCTTAATTATTTCTTATGGCCAAACAAATGCTCTATATTTGCCGAATATTGAATTAGAAAACCTCAGGACCTAATCAGTTTCAGAGAGATGTTTAGTTTGATCACAGACCTCTCACCGAGAAAAATGTCCATTATTAAAACTTTATTTGTGGTTTTAAAGTGAAACCAAGCTGGACATATCTCACAAATAATGATAAATCTCCATGTTGATAGGAATCTGGATTTTCATGGCTTTAAATTCTATAGCATATTTCTGGAGCATGCAACAAATATACGAAAGAGTTTTGTTTAACATCTCACTTATAGCTGCTTTTGAAGTTATATGTTATGAAGAAATATAATTTCAATAAAAGTGTTTAAATTCAAGCCAAAAGGAAAGAAATCCTAGATATCAGGATGAAAAGAAGGTCCTTTGCTTAGATTGTGAAGATTTAACATTATATTTTCTAATAGTCTTATTGATAGTTAACAAATATAAAAGATGGCCAAAGGGTGGTCACTTGGACTTGTAATAACTAATAAAGCAGATCACTGACATCTTCAAGGAATTTCTAGAGGGGCTCTAAACTATTTAGTACATTCCATTCTTAGGGGTTTTGTACAGCCTAACCTACAGTTTGAGGGAATCTCTTTGAGAAAAAAAAGCCCTCAAAATCATAAATGCAAAATTGTTGGGGGTACTTCTCTAGAACCTATGGGGTCGAAGTTAGTGAAGTTTAAATTTCTTTGGGTTCATCTCTGTTCCTTCCTGAAAGATTTCTCTATTCCCACTACCCAGCCATCACTTGTAAGATGATACCAATAATTGCTTTCAGCATTAGCTGTGCTAAGTAATGGGCTTCCCTAGTGGCTCAGATGGTAAAGAATCCACCTCCAATGCGGGAGACCCAGATGAAGATCCCATGGAGAAGGGCATGGCAAGCCACTCCAGTATTCTTGCCTGAAGAATCTCATGGACAGAAGAACCTGGTAGGTTACAGTCCATAGGGTTGCATAGTCAGACACGACTGAAGCAACTTAGCATGCACACAAACATGTGCTAAATAATAATTGGATGTTACAACCTAGACAGCATATGAAAAAGCAGAGACATTACTTTGTCAACAAAGGTTCGTCTAGTCAAGGCTATGGTTTTTCCAGTGGTCATGTATGGATGTGAGAGTTGGACTATAAAGAAAGCTGAGCGCTGAAGAATTGATGCTTTTGAACTGTGGTGTTGGAGAAGACTCTTAAAAGAGTCCCTTGGACTGCAAGGAGATCCAACCAGTCTATCCTAAAGGAGATCAGTCCTGGGTGTTCATTGGTAGGACTGATTTTGAAGCTGAAACTCCAATAGTTTGGCCAACCTGATGCGAAGAGCTGACTCGTTGGAAAAGACTCTGATGCTGGGAAAGATTGAGGGCAGGAGGAGAAGGGGACGACAGAGGATGAGATGGTTGAATGGCATCACCAACTCAATGGACATGGGTTTGGGTGGAGTCTGGTAATTGGTGATGGACAGGGAGGCCTGGCGTGCTGCAATTCATGGAGTTGCAAAGAGTCGGACACGACTGAG